GCGCAATTTATCATTAACGTGCTTAAATGCTCAAATAACCCTACAGTACAAGCCTCACAAACGGGCTACAAAAATGATCGTAACAATCCTGACTGATATAAATGCCTGTAACAACAATATATTTATCAACAACAACGGGGGGGTCGGATCACATCTTGTCTGGGGGGATGATTTCTACTGATTTTTTACTTTTTTCTACTGTTTTTGGTTTTTTCGGTTATTTTTTTATGGTTTTTGTTTTTCTTGGGTACTATACTACTTTTTGTTTGGTTTTATATATATCTCTAAGTGTTTTTGGTCACAAACCTCTCAGTGAACGAGGGAATGGCCGATCCCCCCACCCTTCCTGGTTCGTGAATTTTCGGTCTTAACTAAGTTAAAAAGCTATTCACGGTAATCCGGAGGGCTTCCAAGTTCCGATCTACCCTTCCGCCCCGGCGGTTTAGGCCTATTAAGGGCGTTAATGTGAGCATCCGCTCGGCGCGGAGTGCTCGTTAACGGTTCTGCCGGTCATGATGTTAAAAAAATAACACCCATGAGCGCCATAAAAACATGTATGTAAGATTCGCCCGGAAGATACATATCGACGGAAAACAAAACTAAGTCATACGACGACTGGCTAACGTCTAAACAGAGCTTTGCATGCTTTTCACCGTCTCTACCAAGCCAGTACTTTTTGGTGGTCTTTTCTAACATCGGGTCGACAAAACGTTACTGCTTTCGGCTTCGGTCAAAACACTCAAATTAACTTAATTACATGCAGAAATAGTGAGCTCATGACTGGGTCTCAGTATCCCCAGACCACGAGGTCACTCCTAAAAACAGGGCTACTATTTATTATATTACTATTGTTTTTGTTCAGTAGATAAAAATCATCATCTCCATCGAAGATGGATCAACCCTTTCCCCCAACTCCTAGCTTCTCATCCTTATCAAAATGAATCCAGTTGTTAATTAAATTCAAATCAGGACATGACAAGAAGCTAAAAGTCTATATAAAAGAATAAAAGTCTCAGTTGCGAAAACCTTCCGGATTCTTGAATCCACTGAATCAAGCTCGTTAATCTTGATTTCTTCTTAATCCGGAAGGCTGTCCTCCACCCTTCACCGTTGTCTGCAACAGCCTTGCAACTATTGTAGCTACACAATAGATGCAACTCGGAGTGTTCACTGCTATTCCTGCAATCTGCTATTGTTTTTTCTCACAATTTTCGTACTTATCGTCCGCGCAACTAATGTTGTTCTGTTTTTCTTAATTCTTTTTGCTAAAATGGCCGTTTCTGACGTTTCTCAGAAATGTTACGTAATCACTTCGAAAATTTAAAAATTAGCAATTCCCGAATCCTTTAACCTTCACGTTTTGTTCGATCGTTCAAATAACGTTCTTAATTCTTAATAATCACCAATCCGGAAGGCTCGCTGCTAAAATTCGAATTCTGCAGAGATTGCATTTTGGCCATTCTGGTCGAATGTCACAGTGGGCGTTTTAATTCAAAAGATGCACTACGGTCAAATGAACCGAAATCAAAGCTATTTGTTTCGAACAACAGCACAATCATGAAAACTTAATTTCTAAATTTTCCCAACTCAATAGATCTGGCGATTTTAAAAGCATAATTTATACCAAATATCGCTTCATGCTTTCCAATTTATTTCATGTAAAGTCAGTGTGGTTGCCCTTAATTTATTACATTTCAAATTATATCATGCGAAGTTTGTGTATTTTTATATCTTGTGCAACTTTTGCTGCATAGCACTGCCAATTTATTAGCATATGTAGCTGCTTTATTGGTGGCTAGTTTTACAAAGGTTTCAAGGTCCCTTGGCGCAGATGCGAGGTTGTGCGACTCTAATTATCCTGGTCGTAATTTTGAATCAGCCGCAGCAAACGTTGCAAGTCTTCTTTCGTTTCGAATTTCATTTTTAATAGCTGATTTTTGTCGTTTTTTGGCTTGTGTGTGCGACGCGTAGCTTCGCCTATGTGTAAAGTTTTTGGCACGAATACGATCACTCTGCAAGTTGACGCAGTCAAAATACGGAAATGTTTTAGCCAGAACCTGCCTGATGACAATGAACATCAAAAAACGTAAATTACTGAACCGGAAAGGAAACGCAAAAATCTCGACAAATGAAAGAACACTCGAACAAACAGAGTAGGAAAAGAGCCTCGGTATAATTGTGTCAAGAATATGCATGTGTCAACAAACGCGGATAGATGTGAGAAAGCAGTTAAAGCATTTCCACTAAAAATCGTAAAATCGGTGTTTGTACAAATTGCCGTGCCAAAAAGAATCAATATAGAAGCTACATTGTGCCAATCATCTCGTACAGCCCAATGTGGTACAGCCCAGAACTTGGTATTTGGGTTCGTTTATCTTTCCAGTTCGTCACTGAAACTATGGGTTCGAAAAACAAGCTATTGGTTTTTCTGCCCAATTTTAGGTACATCAAAGAACGCCCCTGTTTCACTCTTCAGACCAAAGTTGAGCCTTGAAATTTTAGACTGAATTCCCGATCTAAATCGTCTGCTATAATTAAATGTTCTCGATGGCTCAGAAGCCAAGTCAGTTCCCTTTCGCTAATAAAAAAACATCAACAGATCATTTCTGTTCCTTTATCCGAATTCGCTTGGTTGGAACATTATGTGCTACTTGCTCTCCTTGTTTGTATTTTTGTATCAACACACAATTAGGTACAACAAATAATTTTCATATTGGGACAAACGATAATCCAACTCAAAGGTCTCTCAGTCACAATTTGATGTTGAAGTTTTTCAAGAACGTTTTCTGTGTTGTGAAAATCGGTATGAACTTCTTGATTTCAGTCTAATTTGGCGATTAAAACGAGCGAAAAGCTGTTATATAATGAAAAGTTGTTATTAAAGCGGCCGGAGAAAATTTTGAAGTTAAATTAAATTGTCAATGAACATAGTGAAAACATTTAAATCAACCGATAGACTTTAATAACAAACCAGTTTATGATTCAAAAAAATGTGCCAATCTCTTTAATCAGCAATACAGCCCTCACCGCCCTGTCCAAATGAAGAGAAACGCAGCAAGCTCCGCAGACTGAAAGAAATACGTCATGAGTCCACTAAAATTGTCTCACAGTTCGTCACCAAATTAAACTGAGCAATAAAAGCAAAGCTTTAGGGCCCGATAATTTCGCGCCAATTCATCTTACCATCTCGGTGATAAATGTATCAAGTTCCTTACAGAACTAATATCACTCACTCTGAACTCCTCAATCATTCCGCAAAACTCGAAAGCCGGTTAACTTTTTCCTGTGCTGAATCTGGGCAAAAGCATAGATGAAGCAAAAAGCTACCGACCCATAGCCCTCTTATCCCGAGTAGCGAAATTGATTGAAACAATCCTGCTGGATGACTTCAACAACATCCTACTACCAGATCACCAGCACTGATTTCGAAAACACAGGTCAAAGGTCAACAAACACTACCTTACACTGCATAGCCACTGAATAAGAAATGGACTAAATCAACCTCGTCCTTCACACAGGACACTCCTAGTTGCTTCAAATCTTACTACAGCTTTCGACAGTGGATCACGGTATCTTGCTGCACGATCTTGAAAAGTCGTCTCTTCCAAACAACGCAGAATAAAAAAATAAAACATCGTATTTACCAGGCAGTGCAACTTATGTCAAAAATGTGACAAACGAAACAAGGTGTACCTCAAGGGGGAGCCTTGTCGCCTATTCTGTTCAGTATTTACATGTCATCAATGCCCGTTCCATCTGCCAAAAACATCAAAGTAGCAACATGTGCATATGACATTTCTATCACCACCACTGGTCCGAAAACCACTGATTTTGGACTAGAGGTACAGCCCTATCTATATGCTCTAAACAATTGGCTTCCGAAACGCAATTTAGAAATTTCTGTAGACTAATCTTAAGCGACTTTCATAAAACCTGGAACAAAGAAATGAAGAATCAAACTAATGTGATCATTGAAAGCAACCCTCTACCCACCATTCAAAAACCTAATATTCTAGGAGTCACGTTTGATTAACTCTTTACTTTCACTGAACGCATTACCACAGTGATAAACGAACTCCATACACGCAATAACTTGCTGAAAAAGCTCTCATGCACTAGCTGAGGATGCAGAAACTCTAAAATCACATATAAGGCCATTGGGCGTAGTGTTCTGAATTGCGCAGATCCCGTATGGACACCTTCAGTGAGTAATTCTCGTTGAAAAGACCTGCAAACTCGACAAAACACAGCACTTACAATTGAACTGGCTGCTCAAAAATGACCCCAATTAAACACCTTCATTGTGAAACTCAGATACTGCCAGCAAAAAATTACCTTTTCAGTTTATTTCAACTTTATTTGCTAAAAGTAAAGCAATTTTTATCTCCAATTACGCAAGTACAAAGGGCGCAAAAACATATGAATAATTTTTTTCGAAGTTAGGATTTTATTTTTCAGATTTCTCAGAGGATTAAAAACTTATCGTTTGACCCTATTATCATTAATTGCGCTCTAATTTGAATCTGGAAATTATCCTACTTGGCTTTTTTACCCATATTGAGCTTCATGCAAGCCAGTTCAAGGCAAACGTATGAGAAAGTTGATAGATCTGGCTTGTACGACATTTTAAAAACATTTTCTCTATACTTTTAGCTGGCATATCATTTTCTGTCTGCTAGCGTGTCTTGCTTCATTTGTGTTGTATCGTAAGTGCATCGAAGCTCCGCTTTACATCTCTGCTTGAAATAATTTAAAAACGCAAAAAAATGGCATTCTGGTCGGAATATTCTCTGCTATTTTTATGTAATTTTGTGAATTGGCTTTGGTGTCTTATCTGTAAAATAGCAACCAGAAAGGTTCATATTTAAAGAAGACTGATTTTAGTAGTAATCTGCCGCGAATTTCATGTTTGTGGTGTGTTTTCTGTTGTCTTCGCAATTGAGGAAAACGTGTTGGTTTTCTTGAAGTTTATTTCGAGTGAACTCCATAAACTTTTCGTGTCCCCTGAATGATCACAAACAGTCGAGGAGTTAACTTAATCTAACCAGACCTGTGCGTTAAGATTGTGTTTGTTCTCGTTTATTGCTCTTATCGTTTTCCTAGTGGACCGCACAACGTTTATGTGTACCCAGATTAATTTATAAACCTTGTGAAAGCTAGAAAAGGTTACCAATTGAATCTTGTTTTAAATTGCTTGGTGTGAAATCTGATTCTCGGAGGATTGAACTTTCGAGCTGATAAGTAAGTGAACTTTGTTTGTGAGCCAGACGAAATACTACCCACAAAGCTCCCTGTAGGTAAGAGTACACATTAAACTAGATAAGTCTCTGCTGAAACTGTAAGACTTATGAGCGGTAATAACCTGTCAAGTTTAATTTACTGAAGCATGAATTGGGCTCAGTTTAAAGTGGGTTTGACTTTATGGTAATAAACTGCATAGCTCTAAACCGTAAAAGCGTGCCTTTGACTGCCTGGGTTGTACACAGGTCGAGAGATTCATAAAAGTGAATGAGTTTTGGACAAGTTTGCAATTGGTTGATAGCTTCTCCTTAAACAAACTTTTGTTTTGCTAGGTCACTTAATCCCTATAAATTGTTTTATTTGTTGGATTTTCGGTTCTTCAATCGCAACCAGAGCGGTTCTTGTAAAACTTAAGTTACCCATTTTTGAACCCCCAAATAACCCGTGACGCCTCAAAAACTGCATTTCTCAACCGAAATTTACCGCTTATCAGTTGCAAAAGTTAGTTGTGAATTTGCGTTGTCCTATATAGCTGTATTTCAATTTTGAGTCGACCACAACCTTACCAGTAATATCTTACCCTCAGTATTTAGGCATAGTTTTATTTATACAGTAACTTCTTATTTTACTAACCCAATTCTGAACACGTTAAAACTATTAGTACTAGTAAAGTACCCAACCTTCCGACCTATCTGTATTGCACCCGTATTTGTTAAATTGTACTAAACTACTACTAAAATGGGCAACTGGAAAGTGGGTCTGTGCTCGGTCGGGGGATGTCTGAATGACTGGAAATTGTGTGTGATCTCGTGGTGTTTCCCCATCCACGTGTTCGGCATGGCGGCCGAGGAGGCTATGGACAAGGGAGACGGTGTGAGGTGTATCACTCTCGCGGCTCTTCCCTTTGTGAACTACTGTGTCTTGCCATGCTGGAGGAGTGGGATCAGATCATCTAAAGGTGAGCTCATATAAAATTGTTTTGATTACTTAATAGCTCAATCAAATTCTTCGCAAAATTAGTCATTGTCACTAAGGAATTTGGACACAATAAGATCTTGTGAGCTGTTCAAGTTTCATGGGTTATGACCACATTTCATTTTTCTACTTCGAGAATGTAACTCTCCGTTATCGATCATCGTTAAACTAAACTCCAATTCTGCAACTATTCCTTAAGACTAAAGTCAATTTTTCGCGGAGTCATTTTTTGTCTGTTTCCGCCTGGGTGATCAAGAAACGAAGTAAATCTAGTCTGTAAAATCTTAATAATAATAATAATGATAATATCCTAGTTCATCACTCCCTGAATATCTTGATTCATAAATTAAGAAATTGTTAATTCATGTGTTCACTCCTTATTATCAAGCGTTATGAAATTGGGACATAAGCTTTTTAAGGTTAACAACTAGTTAAACAAGGTTACTTAATCATATTGCAAAGAGACATGTTTGGTCATCAGTTACCTTATGTGTAAGTCTGAATTTTAAATTCCCGTTTTGTTTGAAGCTGGTGTTCCTATTGGTTGTACACCAATTGATTTATTTCCTTATAACATTTTTCAAACACTCTTGTTTCTTTAAGAGTACCAGAACGTCCAAAGCAACTTTCTATAATATGTTAAAATGTAGTTTTAAAAGATATTTCACTGTTTGCTATTGGGGAACTAGAGCGCAGCATTCAAAGTGTTAAGTTTTCGCTCAATGATGGTATTTAATAACCGTTAAAAATTGTACAGTAAATTTTTTTTCGATCCAAGGAACTTAAAATGGGCTCGTATGAACCCCATGTCTATCCTGATCTACTATATTTATATGACATAGATGATTTTAAGTGATTGTTGTAAGTGTCGGGATGAATATGTTTTCCTTTTGTTTTTTTCTTACCTAAAATATTGATTCGGCTCAAGTATTTGGCTTTGATTCCTCACTTGGCGCATTTTGAATAGTGATTGCACTTTTATTCGTGTGTTAAGGGATAATCTGAAACTTCAAAAATGAGTATTTTTTTGGCTCAACGGGCGTTAACCCTAGATTTGTGGGCTCAATTACCAATTCATACCTGTTTCAGTGCTCATTTACTGCTGAGATTATTGTTTTTGAGAATATTTTTTTTTGCTTCTGATAAATGCTTACCTTATAGGACCGGCTCATTTTTGCAAGACATGTTTAGTAATAACCAAAACTTAGAAAATTAATTTAAGCTTAGCAAGATGAATCTTGCTTAAACGCGTTACAAAATTTTAGGCGAGGAAGGTTGATCATGGCGAGATTTATGTCAGACGCATTCAAATAGTTGACTGTCAATTAATCTTTTCGTGATATCAAAACACATTAAAATGTCGAATGTTTTAATATTTGTATAGATTGCAACATTAAGCTAACTTATTGCGAATCAATTCAAGTCATCAAAAGAACTTGAAATGTGTCTGAATTCAATAAGTGAAAAATTTGAATGTATGGCTCATCACTTCAATCTATCAAATTAAATTGAAGTTTTTTGAAAGTTTCAACGCTTGCGTTTTTTGCTTCAAAAAGTTTATCAAATTTTCACCATTTGAATCCATTGATACGAAGTGCTTCAGTTTCTTGACATGATAGCTTGCTTTTAATTTGTAACGAATCCATTAAGTTTTTGACAACAAACTGATTGGTTCAAGGATTCCTTGCTCGAATAGTTTGCTTCCAAAACCTCCACATTTTACGAACCAATGAAAGCTATCAAAACTAATTGAGTTGTTTTAGTTTTCCAGCAATTGAATTGCTTGCTTTAAAAGACACTAAATAAAATTTTTGTCGAAAAAAATTGCAAAGAAATGTTTTGGGAAATAATTCAGAAAGTCAAAACTGAACATTTTTAAAGCTTTCATCACTTGAAAAGCTTAGTTCATGACTTTTTGCCAACCAATGTTAGCTATCGAATTAATTTAAGTTTCTTAGTTTGATATCTCGCTTTAAAAAATTCAATTGCGAAACATTCAATTGCAAATCCATTCAGTCCAGCGTTGAACTTTGAAGCTTAATTGCGAAATTGAGTTTTAGCACGCCGGTTTAAGTGTTCAGAGGCAATTGAAACTCGGTTTAGGCGTTCAGAGGCAATTGAAACTGAAGTTTGATCGATTGAATAGCTGGCATCAGAAAATTTTATTATTTTATGTTCGCAATAAATTCAAGCTTTCAGAACAATTTCCAAGCTTAGATCATCTGAAACTTGGTTTTTTGCAAATCAGTTATCTATTCAAGCCATCAAAATATATTTAAAAGTTTCTATATTTTTTAACGTGATAATTTGTTTGAAATAGCTTAGATTTCTGGAAGCCATTGTCGGCTATGCAAAAAGTTTGGACTGCTCAAGTTTTCATTGGTTCGATAGCTTGCTTCCAGAAATCACTTTTTTGCGGAATTGTTGAAGCCATCAACTTAAATTGAAATCAAATTCATACTTTGTTGACTTTTTGAAAGAAAAATCGAGAATTTCATCTTTATATGGGCTTGCTAGTTTCCGTTAGTTTGGTTTGATGTCAATCTTTCATCTATTCAAATAGCGACCTAATTTTGAGACTTCGCCGTGAGGCATAAATTCCATTGCATGATTATGATTAAGAGAACAAAAATGACTGCTTTATAAAATTTTATATTTTCGAGTTATAACGCGTCTTACATGAACAAAAAACATGATCTGAAGCGGCATTTTTGTTAACAGTAAATTGACCCAAAAGTACAACGATAGCCGGTTGCTGTGCAAGGACAGAATGTTCCGATCACGCCTTTTGTGACAGCAAGTGTTTTATAATCGGGTACTCTGACTTTTTTGCGGATAACAATTTTGTCGAAATTTTTGACTACTCTTTTTTCGTATCAAAGGCTGTCTACCCAAGTATGTTCTGATGTTTAGTTACCACTTAGCAAGTTTTATGATGATGCTAATTTTAAAGCTGGCATGTGGCTTTTTTGTTGACATGTTTTGCACAAAATGAACTTCATAGAGACAAACTTTTGAAAGTTTTGATAGATATAGTCCCTTCCAATATAGATTTAGTTCGGTTATTTAAACAGCTTCTTGTTAACTAGCTTGCCACGCGAAGCTCTGCTTCGAGGGCGGCCGTGGTCGATTAAGTAAGACGTGCGTCTCTTAAAACGATGTTCGTGGGGTTGAAATCCCTCCTCGGAGGGCTCACTATGTCATCCGCCTCCTCTAGGTGGGAGCGACTTAGAAAAAAAAATGGGTGGCACCCCTTCCAACGAAGGTCCTTCAGTAGGTAGGACGGAGTCTCATAAAAAAGCTACCCTTCGTCTCTGTGTCTCCTTTTTGCAATAAATTGAATATTTTTTCGTTGCAAGTTTTCTGTTATTTTTTGTTATTGAGATGGAATTGAATAGGCTTAAGCTATAAAAATTAGGAAGTAAAAACTGCAGTAACGTGAAATTTATTGATAGTTAGGTATTTAAGTCAGTGTTTCAACCCTCCGTTTAATTTTTTTTTCTTTTTCAAGAATCCGAATCACTAAAAGGGCTTTAATATGCCTCCACGATTGACCACCTACGAGCTTTCTTTCAGGTTCTGAAATCTGGTGAAAATGCAGCCTATGTCACAAAGTGTTTGTTTCTTTCGATAGTGTTAGGAACAAAAACCAACAGTTGGAAAATTATTTTGGTTTTCATTATTGTGTTGCTAGGAAGCCCAAAGAAGGTTTTTACAGAAAATTGAATGAAAATAATCTTCTTCAATGTTTCACTGGCATACGTTAAAACAAGGTATTTTCCGATAACAATGAACTGGCCAAGAAAATACAAAGTTACAATTTGAGCATTTAAAAAAAAAGAAACCACGAAGAACTTGATACACGTGAAAATGTTGCTAGTGTTTTCCAGTTTAAACTTCTGAATACTGGGAATTCAGTAGTCAATCCCTCTGGAATTAGTTGTGGCTTAAATATTTACAGCAATTGCATCACTTTGCCCTTTAACATTCATACTCCTTCCTCGAAATTGTCAGAAAAATATTTTTCAAATAGTTTTTGTTAACAACTCAATTTTTTCATTGCAGGTTGAATAACTATTGAAAATTTTTTCATATGATACCTCACTTGAACCCAATTTTTGACCCCAATTGATGCTTAGAAGAACGAACTTATTGCCACTCATATAGTTTGTGACGATTTTTTTATTTTGGAAAAGTAAATTGTTCGCAGTTCGACTTTGATCTTACAGCAAAAGTTAAAAAGTCACGAATCACGCGAATGATTTCAGGTTTCAAAATTGAGTTTTAATTTTCTGAATTTTCAGCGGAATAAAAAGGTTACCTAAAGATTCAGTTTTTTTCGAACTTGATATTTTCAAGAAAAAAGTGCCAATCATAAAACATTTACAGTAATTCAAAGAGCTTTAACGTGATATGTTTTTTTTCTTCGAAATTCGAAAGCTCATTAATGTTCTCCAACCCAATTATCTGTTGGCTATATTTAATAATGCCTCCTAGAAACCCGTGACGCGACAATTCGTAACAGTAGATTAAGCTAGGAACACTGATTCACGCGTTCTATTCCTCTCGTGTCGGATGTAAGCGCAGTGGAGCAAGCGTAATCTACTTGCCAAAGCCTTGTTACGAATTGTCGCTTGTTACGAATTGTCGTCTCTTACGAGATATCGACTGTTACGAATTGTCGCCCTACCTTAGAAAACACACGAATATGTGTTTTCCCTCCCATTTAAATGACCTCATCTGAACATTCATCGCTCTTTGCACAGCAACAGGATTTTTTCTTTTGGCTTATTTAGTCAATAGGTTAATTTATTTTCAAGTTTTTTTAGTTAATTCTATGTGGTTTCATTCTACTATTAGAAATTGTTTTTTTTTGTAATTAAAACAAATTGTTTTGTTTAGGAGTTGAGGGTAACATCTTCTTCGACATTCTGGCTGTGTACTGTTGTCTGCCCTGTTCGATCTACCAGGGTGGAGTGGAGGCGGGGCTAGATGGCCAGAAAGAGATAGATGGACTTGTGAACAAAATCACCAAAGCCGTAAAGGTGCGTCCTATCCTATGACTATAATTTCCTTTCTGCGGTTTTCCCCCACCATTAGAATTTTGTTCCTCTGCAATTTAAATCCCATTTTCATATGAACGCAGGTTCGTATGTTCATGACGAGGATCGTTTTGGCTGATCAAAATTGTATCTAATAAAATTTCTAAAACTAAATATCAATTAACGCGGTATATTAATTAAACGACATTGTTTGGTTTGGTACAAATCGATCGATTAACCAAAAAGATCTATTTATGAATGTAGACATGGTAATAGTTTTTCAACGGAAATGATTCTGCGTTAGGGAGATCTTGACCTGAGCGAAGTATTTAATATAACAGATTGCAAAACCCCTATAATACCTAGTAAAAATAAAGAAGAACCACCCCTAGAAGGCCGTAAATCAATGATTAAGGATATACAGATTTTGTACCTAGTCACGAAATTCCTTCTTTTGCAATAAGGGGGATGGGAAGTTAAGTAGAGATCCTGACATTCTATTCTTAGATTTAATAGAAGGCTCAGTATGTGTTTCAAAATTAAAAACGGCTAAAATGCTATTTTTTCTAATCAGTTTTGATGCTGTTGTAGGGATTTGACCCCAAGAAAGAGGTGAAGAAGGCGAAAGACGACACGAAAGCAGCAGCCGAAAACCCAAAGGAGGCGGTCACAGGCGAGATGGATCGAAAGTAATTTCAGGATCTGGTCCAATCACAATTGTCAAACGTCAGATACATTATCGCAGACATACAATGTGTTTTGTGTAGAATTTGCATCAAGTCTAATACAATTGGTATTCTAGTGTAGAAAATGGTGTCGGTTTTTGTACTTGTCTGTTTTGTAGGCCTTGATTTGAATGTAATCATTTAAACTGAGTCCTCTATAGTAATTATCTCTAAGTAAAAAATGTTTTGTAATGATTTGTTTTTTAATTTTGAAGACATCCCCGAAGAGATGGTTGGGCATCATTCTTTAAATCAATTCTCTTTTGACGGAATGAATCAAGTCCGGAATAGTTTTTATTGCAGATGTAGTTACAATTTGTAGTTTGCGTAGTCTACAAAGAAACCTTTCGATCAAAGAGTCAGCTTTGAAAAATATATCATCTGCGCCAGCTTAAAGTTAAAGTTGTTGGCGAAACTTACCAAGAGGCGGTGGCCGTTGTTTGAAATCTCGTTTCAGCTAATCGGAGTTCAGTTTCAAAAATCTCTAAAAAATCGGGAAAACCTTAAAATAAGCAACTAAATGCAGGTCATTATTATCCGAGGCTGGTAATGTCACATAAATTAATTTTTCATAAAATGTTAGCAAACTGTCTTGTTCTGCACGCTTTGAGCTATTTTTCAAAAAAAAGTCGGAAAGGGTTCGCGGATACCGGGAGAAAAATTAATGCCGTTTTCGCTTTTGATAGGCTTTATTGCACAAGAGAAGCTTGTGCTCTACTATGAGCTCATGTTTCTCGTTTAAATTTGCGCCTTTCAAAGAAAAATAGCGTGTAACGCACCTCCGGTGCTTCGAATTTTTAACATCTCATAAAAAACCGCAACTATTGGAAAAAAGATCTGCGTCTTTTGTGTACTCTGACAGCACCCAATTACGGGGTTGCTAATTTCAAATTTTTTTATTTTCTTTTGATTCAAAACTTTTTAAATTCAAATTTTGAAAATCCATAAAATTTTGTGATAAGTTTTTTGAAAATATTTAAAATTAATTATAAAACGTCACATCTTGGAACCTCAAGGCATTTGAGCAACCGCATTTGGTCTTAAATTTTGAAAATCCTTCGAGTACTTTTACAGTACCCAAGGATAGCACTGGGAGTTTCAATTTTTGAGAAGTTTCAAACTTAAGTTTTCGTAAAAAAATCGAAAAAAAACATGAAAAATGTCATATCTCCAAAAACTACCAAGATTTGAGCAGTCACGTTTAGAGGCAAGATTTGCGATCACTGACAATAGTCTCACAGCCCCCAACTACAGAGTTGGGAATTTCATATTATCAGAAAAAAGAATTTAGATATGAAAAACTTTCACTAAATTTAAGGCTTCTATCTCTATAGTGAGGCTCTTAGGGTACTATCAGTTGTAAATTTTGCGTTCAAATATGACCGCTCATAATTTAGATATGAAAAACTTTCACTAAATTTAAGGCTCCTATCTCTAAATTGAGGCTCTGTTAGGGTACTATCAGGAGTTGCAAATTTTGCGTTCAATTATGACGTCTCAAATCCTTGTAGTTTTCGAGATCTGATTTTTTGTCATTTTTTTTGAAAAGAATTTCGGAAAACTTATTCATTGAACAATTTTTAAAAATACCACAAACGTCGCATCTCGGAAACTAAAAGCATTTGAGCAGTCGCATTTGAACTCAAGATTTGTAATTTGGAACTGCTTAGTTTTGCAATTTCGAACAAGGTTGGGATTTTCAATTCATTGGATTTTTTTAGAATTTAAAGTTTTCTGAAAAATGAAAAAGAAACCATTTCTCGAACATCTGAAATATCGTTTATATCTCGAAAATTACAAGGATTTGAGTAGTCATCTTTGGAGGCAAGATTTGTAACCCTTGAGAGTACTCAGTTAGCAGCCAACTACAGGGTTGGGAAATTCAAAACGTGTATATTATTTTATAATTTGAATTTTCTGAAAGAAATCGTATCTCGTACACTCAAAATATTTGGGCATTCATAATTGGAAGCCAAATTGTTAACCCCCAGGGGGAACACTGACAGCATTTCACTAGTGGGCTGCTTATTTTAAGCTCGGTGAAATGAACACTGAATTCCAACAGGAAAAATGAAAAAAAAATTCTTAACCAGTGCAATTTACGATTGGCAATTTGTTAGCATTATGTGACTGCTTTATTTGTGACTAGTGTTTGCCGGTTGTTTAGCGTTCGTGGCCGAGAGGGCAGCGTGTGAGACTCCAAATCTTGAGGTCGAAGGTTTCAAGCCCATACAAAGTTTTACTAATTCGAGGATTTCTATTTTAACTTTTTTCACTTTATAAATCTGCTTTTTGTCGTGTTCTCGCTAGGTGTTCTCGTTTGCAAAACACAGCTTCGCCTCTGTGTAAAAATTTAATTTTCTTGACTTCACCGGTACACTTAGCCTAGAGATAATGAGTACGCTTGGGACGGCAAAGGTATGAGTCCGCCCAGGAACAGTTTTTTTTTTCAATACGAACCTATTGCATTTCAAAACAATATAGGCCTCTCTTATCTGATTGTTTTGTCAACTTAGTTCCCACAGCACGGAATTTTAGACTGCTGTAAGCAATTTTCATTGTAGTTATAAGTACTTTAATTTACTCCTGTAGTAATTTTTAAGCTTACCATGACTCACATTTTTTTTATGTTGATTTTTTTATTTTGCTAAAAATCTTAAATCGGCCTAAATAATTACGGTTGATGTTTTATCAGCTACCTGAAGTGTTTTGGAGAAAAACACGTCCAGAAGTATTTTGTTTTGCTGGACGTGTTTTTCTAAACCGGTGAGTGGAGAGAAGGTTTTTTCCCTCCGGAAACACACGAAAGGGAAATGTCTTTAAGTTAAAGAACTTGATAGCTGAAAGTTTTAGGTGACCACAAATTTGTTTTCGAGTCATCGGGAGTTTACCCATGTTTTTTGACGTAGCTCGAGAAATTCTTGTAAATACTTGCGATTCCAAACCAGTGATTGTTTTGCTGGACGTGTTTTTCTAAACCGGCGATTGTTTTGCTGGACGTGTTTTTCCTAAATTGAACTTCATTCGAGACAACCTTATGACAGTTATGTAATTGTGGTTTTTTTTCGGCATTTTTTCAATTATTTGTTTGACTTTGTGGCTTTGTCGTTTCGTTTTTGTCTGCTAGTTTGAGATGCTATGTTTGTGTAGTATCGCAAGTGAGACGAAGCTCTGCTTCGACTCCATTGCTATTTTGTTTTGGTAATTTTGTAGCATTTAAATTAGAGCACTCAATCCCTAAAACTGGTTTGGGTAAGTTTCGTCCATTTCTGTTTTGATTTGAGATCGAAGGAGCTATGGAGATCCGAGTTTGATGTTTTCAGAGATCGATATATTATCTTATATAGTAAAGCTATGCTTGCTGCTCTATCCGCTTTGAGATATAATTCCAAAAATTCGCAAGCCATTCCCTGGTGTAGGGAAAAATAATAAGACTTTATTTTGCTTCTGGTTGATTTCATTGCTCAACAGTAGCTTGTGCTATACTATCAGGCCTCGTTTTTGCTTGCATTGGATTACAGTGCCAGGTTTGCAATCTGAAGAGTTCTGTTTGGTTGCTCATCGGAGCAAAAGTTCTGCCTTCTTTAGTGCGTATCCAATCAAAAGAGTTTTAAGCTGTGTTAGTGATGGAAGACATCTCAGTCGGCTTGGAAATAGTGGTTGAGTTTGTGAAGTGCTAGTAAAGACCAGAAATGGGTTATCGGGGCGTCTTCCTCTAAACTACCTTTCATCTTACCGACCTTTCCTCTAACCTAACTTTGGTCATCAGTTTTAAAAATAAAGTTCAAATTTCACTGACGGATTTTTCCACAAGCAAACTCTTGTGTTGTTTGTCTTTTCTCCCAGCCTTTACTCGCACTAATTTTTTAATTTGTTTTCAACAATCTGTGTTGAAGTTGATCTATGTTATAGCGCGTTCTTTGCTGTCTCGTATTTACTAATAGATAATAGGTTAGCTGCTTTTTACAGCTATGGCAGATATCTCAGTTAAAAAGGTGACTGCCTCACTCTAGATGTACCTTGTTCAAAACTCTGTTGTCGGAATTGTTTCTGCGTTATAGTTCAATCGGGAACTAGTTTTTTTCCATTAAACAACTTCTTGCATCTTACAGTCATTTCTGAGTTGACATGCCTTAAGCACGAAGTTGTTATATGTGGAAGTCTTGAATGTCAATATATATTCTGGATGCTGATGGTTGTGCATTAAATTATCTGAACTTTGTCATTAGCTGTGGTTTCGGTGTTGTAAACAAATCGCCCACCCGGGTAACTAAATCGTCAAGTACATGCATTGATCATACCATGACTCAAATTTTTCTATGACATTCGAACGTTTAGAACATCTATTAGCAATCACTTTCCTGTTATATTGAATCATCCAGTGAATTCGAAACTCTCATTCAAAATAACTGAAGTACAGAATAATGATTTTTTTAAGCGATGAAAAATGAATTACTGAACTTTTTCTTCATACTGCATGAAAGTCTACAAAAATCCAAAGAAAAACGAGGAAATATTGATAAAAGAAATCCCAAGCGTCTGACCATTCTAAATTTGTTTTTCAAGCCTTTAAACAATTCTGCAAAGACAGCAAACCAATTCCTAATGAAATGGATCCCAGAACATTTTCTTCAACAGAGATTGGTCGGACGACGTTGCCCAAATTCTAAAAAACTTAAAGAGAAAAATTTTAGTGTTCATGATTGCATAACAAGTAAAATCGTGAACAATGCTGTACTGTTGTGAGCCATTTTTTGACTGAAAGTTTTAAGGAATGTTTATTAAACGGTAACCTCCCACTTCTAATTGGCGAAAGTTGTCCCGATTCGTAGAGCCGGAGGTTGAAAAGAGTGATATTTACAGGACAATACGCTTACTGCCATCCTGGCGAAAGTTTTAAGAAACTCATTAAGAATCGAATGTTCGAAATTATCAAGAAAAAAATTATTTTGCTGAACCAATTTGCATTTCAACCTCCTTGAATTCATGCGTGAAGCAGTTGACAAATGGAATTTTGGATTTACTATGTATATGGATATGAAAAATTTGTTTGACACTGTAAGTCATGATATTCAATGGCAACGCTGCAACGTATAAGATTTCGCGAAATTTTTTAGACATGTTGAAAAGTTACTCTGCTGATAGTTATCGATATGTCGAAATAGATGGCAAAAAGTCTGAGTACAAACCAGTTTCGTGTGTGTACCGCTTTTTTCTCTTATGTATATCAATGATTCGACATTGTCTTGCAAGGAAGTTGAGACTGTTTTGTTTGAAGACGATACTACAATTTTTTATGCTGTCAAACTGAACAAAGACTTTTTGTTGAAATATAAAACTCTGCGAAAACTGGTTTGAAGAGAACTGCTTAACCATCAACGATTCAAAATGTCAGTGCATGAATTTTGGGGGAAAAATCTGTTAAGTTTGAAACTTTCGGGAAAAAAAATCTATTGACTGCTTTAACTATTTCGGTATTTTGATTCACAAAAATTTATGCATTTTTTAAAGAAACAAATGTTACTATTTTAAAATTCTCATGATAGAAGTGTTTTACAATGTGGTGTATTGGTGTATGCTTGTACATACTAAAGTCATTTGGACGAAATTTACAAAATGCAAAAAAAATAACTGGCTCAATTTTTCAAACGAAATTTTGAATCCGTACGTAAAATCATAGTCAAAACGGCATGCTTTCAGTTTTTGAATTGTTTTGCAGTGAAATATTTAAAACCCTGCTCAAGTCAATGCAAGACAAAAACAGCATGAGAAATATTGATTTTGAATTAGGAACATGCGTAACAAACACGTGAAAGAACCAAAGGCATTTTGCCAAGCCAAAATGGATATGTTTGGAAGGTTTTGACCCAAAAATTGCGTTTTTATTCGGCGCGCTCCAGAGCATATTAAAAAAATTTAGATTGGTTGACTCAAAATGGATGTCGGAAAAAATATTAAATGACCATTCGAAAAAATTAAGCAGCCAGAATTTAAGAGGGAAGCTACTGCGTAATTGCCTGCCTATCAGTAGAAAAATTTTAAATAGTGTAGCTTTAAGTTTCTTCCTGCTACTGACGGAAACTGACGTTTCGCTAAAATGCTGTTCCGTGTAAATCATTTCTCCTTTTTTCAGATATTTGATTAAATCGTCAACTTTTCTACCAAGTTAGTCTTTTTTAAATCTACAAGATCCAAACAACAATCTGAGCAGCACAATGTGTATCGGGGGAATTGCCTCTTCGTTGGCCTGCTGTGTCTCCAGTGCTGCTTGCTCGCTCTGCTGTGCAGCTTGTCCTTCTTGCAGGTTACTTCCTTACCTTTAAAAATTGGGCTTCACATTGAAGAAATTGGGTCGTAAACATATTGGAAAGTTTAAGCGGTTACTATATGGATGATCTCATGAAATAGGTCTTTCAATCGAAATTTTCATTTTGTTTAGTGGAAAAACGAATTGATCACTCAAAAAATTTGCAGGCTTAGAGTGGTGACTTGCAGTTTTTCTCCGTACGTTACTTGAATAAATTCACTATTGTCGATACCGTTATTTTTTTTCGAATTTTTGCGTAAACTGTTTCAAATAATTTAGTCGAAAATCCTGCTTATTATTTTTAGAAACTCGACTGCTTCTCGTGTGGCTTATGGACTCGTACTTGTGCTGGCTACGATTGCGTCATTGATCTGTATGACAAACCTGGTCAAGGATGAATTGGCAAAGATTGGACCACTTTGCGAAGAATTTGGGCATGGCGTTGATTGTCAGGTATGTTGAATAAGAAATAAAAGGATCAATTGAGCAGTCTGCCCCGTTGCATTACGAGAGTAAATCAACCAGCCGAAGTATTAACCTACCAAAAATGCATGGAGTATATAAGCCAGCCGAACAGTTACATCATATGAAAGAATTTGCAAAACTTACGTATTTTCGGCTGGTTTATATACCACCTTGCATTGCGCATGAGCCGTTTGTGATTTGAGCTGCCGTGAAGGTGAGCTCATATGATACAAAAAAAACTATGTTCAAGAATCTTTTTCTTTGCTGATTTCTGCCTATGAACATCAACCTGCTTCTGCTGGTTTTAGTCATGTTATGTGTTACCCACTACATATACGATGACCTGACCAATCGTGTTGAAATAAGTGACATTAGTCGAACAGAGTATACATTTTTCCGAGAGGAAGGAAAAATAAAAAAGTGAAAAAATTGGTCATTGCTTGTTCGTGAAATTGATTTAAAAATAAATGCATGGTTTATGAATTGTAAGCAAAATACTTCAAATCATTCGGTTTCGAACAAGGTTCCGTATGCGTCACAGCGTGAAAAACACTCTAGATCACTGTGGCAGATGTCAATGAAAAATTTGGTATTTGATTTATGTTGCGTTACGACGTGGAGTTATAGCCTCGTTTTCAAAAGTAATGAACGTAATGATTACTCCTTTATAGGTCTTGGTGATTGATTTGTTTTTTTTTTCAGGAAAGTCTGTAAAAAAAATTCACGCTCAATTTTGATTTTTCGCGGCTTGACTTCTGATTTTTTTTAAAGTTCACTTCATTTCCTTTGTTAAAAGGAAGGTAAACTCCACTATCGCACAGCAAAAGTGTAAATGTCACGGAAAACATGATCGACTTCTAGTTTCGAAAGTATATTCAAGTGTCAGAGTTTAAGAGAGATAATAACTTAGGTTATTGATTCGGTTTTCTCAAAATGGGTTTTTTTATCAAAAAAATGCCCATCATAAATTGTTCTAGAAATTCGAAGAGCTCTAAGGCCATCTATTTTTTTCGAAATTCGAAAGTTGAAATTTTTTCAAAAATATTTTTTTTTGCGTCTATTACATGTGTAACTGTCAGATGGCTATGTTTGTTACATGCAACTGTCGCCATCGACTATTGCTTCTAGCAAGAAAAAAAAACGTTGCAAAATGAATGGAAAACGAATAAGATGAAGAACCTGTTTTTTCAAGGCCCTGGTGGGCTGAAAACAAGTGGGGGAAGATATGGACAAAGTGGAAGGTTGCATGGCTTCTTTGGGGTTGTTGTAATAGAAAAAGTTACATAGACAAAAATTTAGTTGAACAGGATTTGGCTCAAGTCTTATGTTGGACACGCAACCATAAATAGAGGAACGACTAAAAGATATTCCTTTAGTTCGCATCGTTTATGCACAAGTAGGCATACGGACAAGCTGGTGGTGAATGGCAAAATTGAAACACCTGGTGATCCAGAAAAAAACAATCAAGATTTTTTTTGCTGGTTTCGGCCTTCAATTATCAACTCCTCTTTTTCTGTTCAGGCGATGATGGGTTACTTCCTAGTGTACCGAGTGATGTTTGCCATGTGTTGTTTCTTCGTCCTCATGGCTCTTTTGATGATAGGAGTGCAGAACAGTAAAGACAAAAGAGCAGCACTTCAGAATGGATTCTGGGCAGTCAAGGCTGTTCTCATTGCAGGCATCGGAGTGGGTGCCTTCTTCATACCACGAGGTATATGTTTTGTATTTTTATTTAGGTTTTTTCCCAAGGTAACAAACTCTTCAATTTTCAAGGTGACTGATTGAACTTTATCTGCGCTCAATCAAATTGTGAGGTCTATTTTAGTGGTCAAGCTCATGTAAAACGTAACTAGTTTCGGGAGCTGATTTTAATGAATATGTTGTATGTCAATTTTGTTGATACTGAGGAATTTCAAGCTGTTGAGTTAGTAGTCTTAGGTCTTTTCATAGATTTAAATAAGAGTTTGTGTTAAAAGTGTAAGTATCGAGGTGTGTTGATTCTAGGACACTTCGAAACTGTTTGGATGTACTTTGGCCTGGTGGGTGGATTCGGCTTCATTGTACTGCAACTCGTGTTCCTAATCGACTTCGCTTACACGTGGAACGAGAAGTGGGTGGCCAAAATGGAGGAGGAAGAAGGTTGTGGCAAGTGGTTCTCCCTCCTCCTTGGAGTCACAATCGGAATTTTCCTGATCTGCATTGTAGCTATGGTTCTGATGTTCGTATATTATGGTGGCGAAGGATGTGGCCTGCATAAGTTTTTCATCTCGATCAACATGGCTCTCTGTATCCTGTTGTCTGTTGTGTCCATTCTGCCAAAGGTGCAGGAAGCCAACCCGAGCAGTGGACTGCTACAGGTAACAAAATTCTATTTCACTAGCTAAATTACTGATATGAAATACCTTTCAAGGATAACGCAAAAAATAATATTTAAATGATTGTAAAATTTCTGATTCACATATCTGTGGCATCAGTCTCCGTTTGCGCAGAGCTCTAATTCTGATAACTATGGAGTTGGGTCATTCGCAATGAGCAATGAAAAGTTAAAATAGTGTTGCTGAGCCATAATAGAATTGATGATATTTATCTGCACTTTGAATATTTGTTTATGAAAGTATAACTTTTGTTGTTTTCATCCTGTCTCTTGTTTAGTCTTCGGTCGTCTCAATCTACATGATGTTCCTCACCTGGTCTGCCATGACGTCATCCACCACTCAAGGATGCAACCCTCGTCTGGGAGAAATAATCACTGGCCACTCCTCCGATTCTTCGGAGGAGAAGAATAACGGGACCTCACTGGATGGGGCGAGCATTGTTGGCATAATCGTGTGGGTGTGTCTCGTCATGTACAGCAGTGTGTCCACTGCGGGCAAGGTCGGAGTCAGTGCGGCGCCAGAGGTAAGAGATCTAGCAATACATAAACTTTTGAACTAGTGTTGAGTAACTGAACAATTCTTTGCAGAAGTCATTATTAGAACAAAAAGTGTATACTATTTCAGCGGAAGAGAAGAAGCACTGTTTGTAATTTCTACAAAATCTGCTTTTAATTAAGTTGATTGCGTTCTCTTCAATGATATTAACTGAAAATAAGACAGATCGCTTTAGTGCTAAAGCCACAAAGTCATGAGCCACTTGTCGAGAAACCTTTTGTTGATTTTTTAATGCAATACGAGTCACGAATGAAAACGCTTTCAAATGTATCCTTTTTTGCAACATTTTTGTGTAATGTACCTTTCTAGTGCCTGGATTTGCGTTTAAAAATAATATGGTCGAGAACAAAATTCCTTCCCAATTCATGATCGGAACAATTAGAAAAAGTGATTGCATTCCTCCGAAATATGTTTTGTAAAGCCATGGGAAAACAACATGAAATCTATCCTTACTAGATTCATGTACATTCGACATGTACCATTAAATTATTAGTAATATTCTGCACAAAAATCACTAAACAAAAAAATAATTTGTGATCAAATTGTATGAAACTTTTATTAGGAGGAAGGCTTTGTGCCTATGAGTGACGTGCACTCTGGGGGACATGCTTCGGATGACGAGGAGGGAGGGGGCAGGAAGGGTCAGAAGGTGTACGATGACGAGGAGGAAGGAGTGGCCTACAACTACTCTCTCTTCCATCTAGTCCTCGCAAGTGCATCCCTCTACATCATGATGTGTCTCACTAACTGGCTCGACCCACAAGGTAAATGGTTTACACTGATTTAATGGTTCTCGAGTTCAACTCATTTGTTTAAAGATTCGTCTGCCAAGATTTTGACTCTTTAAGGTTTTTTTTTGCTGAGCTGAATTAGCTGAATTTGCATGGTAGTTTCAAATGATAATTAAACCCTTTCAAGAGTAGTAAAACGAAGTGATCTTCACTTACATAAGTCGTGATAATTTTTTTCAGAAAAAGTCATTAAGTTTGTCCATGCTCATTATCTGGTACGATTTTTATAGGCTTACTTTCTAAAGCATGGGTTTCATTTCAATTTAAAAATTTTTAATTTTTTGATAGTTCACTTATTTGGGAATTTAACAAAGTCTGATTTTGAGTTACTTTATTACGCTAGGAAAATAGACTATTTCGGGTTAACAACAAAATCAGTTGAATCATTTATAATTCTGCTATGCTGCTGACATGCTCAACTGCATGAAAATTCTAATAGAACTACTAGTACTACTAGTACATGGTACATCTAGCACTCAAAGCATTGTATGTATAATTATTGAGTTTCGATATTACTTTTCTGCTGATGAAATTTCGGCTTCTTGGTTGTCGATTTCAGCTGTGTCGGTTTAGTTTCCAAATTCTGTATTTTTCATAGCATGCGCTACTTATATAGCTGTCGTTGATCCTATGTGGGCGTTACATGCTTATTTTTCCGATATGATTTTTGACGAACATTTTCAGTTGAGTCAGCTTATTGGCTGCCGGCCTTAATCCTGTCGGTATATTTGCCGAATTTTTTCCTTAAAATGTCTGGTAGTACTTCTGAGATCGACAAGACTCTGGCACTTATTTTTGAGCTCAATCAACTTCATTAGCATTTCTTTGAAAAAATTCAATAAATTTAAACAGGAAAAACTTTTGTGTGTTGTTTTGTTTTCTTTGTTTTTCCTTTTTGTTCTTCATTTGTAACAGCGTTCGAAAACATCTGCTAATTTTGAGCGTCATTCTGCTTTCATTCTAATTGTTGTATCGTTTTTAAGATTAATGAATGTAATGAAGACTTCTATATAGGTCTTGTAGATTTTTCGTTTGCTTTTTTCCATGAAAAAGTTTTAAAGTGCTCTAATAACCAAGATGTGCTATCATATATATTTATGAATGCACTTTGGTATATATGCACTTTTTGAGCCCAATTGAAATTCATTTGCTGAAAGTTAGATATTCCCCCTTTATTGCCGCTCAGTCAATGATTCCCAGTGACTTTTAAGGCTGTTTATGAATATCATCCCTTACAAAGATGTAGTTTTTGTAGATGTGTTTTTCAGAAAATGTTTCAGAATTTTTTGACGGTCTTTTTCCCATTCACTATCTGGTAGCGCAATGTTTTTTTTTATATCGCAAGTGTAGCCCAGCTTCGCCCCTCTTTTTGAAGTTTCCTTCATCGAACAGCAAAAGTGTACAGGTGACGGAAAACGTGAATGATCTCTAGCGTCAAAGTGAACTGAATTCCCAACAGAATAGAAAAATTACTTCTTGCTTTTTTTCTCTAGACGGGATGGGATAACTTAGAGAAAAAAGTTTGAATCATGAACTATTCGTGAAATTAGGGCTTTAAAGTGCTTAAACGTGATATACTTTTTACTTCGAAATTCTAAATTGAAAATATTCTAGATTTTTCTATCAACTTTTTTTCGGTTTCGTGTTTCTTTTTACTTATCCAATTATTTGTTGGTTAGATAGTTGTTGATATCTGTTTTTTTGAGTGCTCAATTGATCGGCGAAATTTTTTCCAGAAAAAAAAAATTTCACTTTTCACTCGCGGTGTCAAAATTTCAAATAAAGTTGTTTTTAGATCATTGATTTTGTAGGTTAATTTGTTAACAGCTATATTGCCTTCCGCCGGATTGGCATTAATTGGTTTTAATTTGTTGTCAGACTTTATGAACGAACCATATATTTTACTTTTTAGGCCAACTGCAGCAGTTCCAAAGAAGCAACGCAGCGATGTGGGTCAAAATTGGCTCCGGTTGGACATGTGCTGGACTTTACGCGTGGTCTCTAGTAGCACCACTCGTTCTCACCAATCGAGACTTCGCTTTTTAGATTGACTCAACTAAGACGGACTGTCCAATTTTGAATTGATGCTAAAATTTGTATATTAGGAAAACACTTCAGTAGCAACGCAACTCGACGTTCGGTTTTAGAAAAAAACTTAGAAGAAATTCTTATTGCTTCAATCATTAATTTAGCTTCAGAAATAATCGCGGTTTTGTAAAGAAAATTAGGTATATATGTATGTATCCTTGGTAAATTGGCCCTAGAGTTGAATATCCGTGTTAAAGACCAGTGAAGCAATTAGAATTGTTAACTCAGACTGAAATGTTTCATCAATATTTTAGATTACCAGGGCAGCCCGCAGCCGAATTGGCCGTTTTTTCAGAAATCTTCAGAAAAATGCTCTAAAACTGTTTTTAAAATTTTAGGTGAAGTCAATCCATTTTATTTAAGGCTATTATCAATCACGAGAAAGAAAGAAGAAAAAAATTTATTTATGCTTTATAGTATAAGGACAGTACTAAGTACCATAATAGTATTACGAGTACTAGAAAAATAAAAAAGGCCGTACACATATTGCCTCTCTATGAGTTTTGGCACATCCCAGCTCTTTTGACAGTTAGGCTGCCCTGGCAATGCAACGGTTATTTCATCATGAATGTTGGAATTACTTTAATGCACATAAATGTATCAATAACGAAGTCTTTTGACTGAAAAGCCATTATTATTCTTAAGGTCGCCCTTGAAAGAGTGATAGGCTTATTGAATTTAGTTTACCTTTTTGTGAATGCTCTTGAATGTTAGAATAGAGTTTTATTACTTACAATATTTTATTATCTGCTGGGATTTGCAGTTGAGTGTTTCTGAAGAAAGTAAAGGACTTTTTTTTATTGGGGACCTGATCTTTGCTCACCTAAGTTGAATTGAGAGGAAGAAAGTCATTCATTCAAATTTTTAATTTTTTTTAGCTTTGAGAGTTGATTGGTTTTTGGTAGGTTACCGATTAGAATTTTTGCAGCTAATTCAATTATTTTAGTAATGGTTTTTCGCTGAAGTTTTCCGTACTTTTTTATCGATTTTATTCGAAATGTTGAGTTGACTAATGGAAGTGAGAACGTTTTTACATTTTTCTCACAAATGCATTCTTCAGATTGAAAATGGGCCTCAAATTGATTGCCTCAATTTAAAATGCTGACGTCTCATTGGTTGCTGTTTCATTTCGATACCAGTCGCAGAAAACGTTGTCATATAGGCACCACTTGATTTGAAAAAATCTTCATTCCGAGACCCCAACCTTTGGAACTCCAATAATAAAGTCGGATCTATTACCTCTAAACTGCTTGATTAACTTGGGAAGGGTAGTTGAAATGAAGCACAGGTACGGATTCCCGCCCAAAATCGGAGAGCCGAGAGAGGTGAAGTTGTGCATGGAGAGCATAGAAGATCTATGGCACATGTACAACATAATAGCCCCGGGAGACACCATCAAATGCAAGACCAGTCGTAAGGTAGGATAGAGTTCATCATGATTTATAGTTTTTAATTATAAACCTAAAAAAAGTTAATTATAAATCTAATCATTATGTTCATATAAAAGAAAATTCGTTCTATCTGTTCCGCTTCTATTTTGTTTTATTTTGTGAACGCTTCAAGTGCTATTGATTCTTGATGAATTCGAAAAAATTGTAGTTTTGATCGATGATAGCAACTGTATTAGCGAAAAAACTATAAGATTTTATAAAAGAGTTTGTTTTTTTTCCGTAAGGTAGTCCAGCAGTCAGACACTGGCAGTTCCAAGACCCAGAGAATCACGATGACACTGACTCTTTGTGTGATAACAGTCACTTATGATTTCGACGTTGGAGAGCTCGCCATCAAGGTAGAAATAATATACTAAAATAGACGCTTCAATAAAATAGAATTCTTGCAAAAAAATTGCCCAAGTTAGAATTACTGATGATTTCTTTTTCGTTAAAGGGTAAAAACGTAGAAAAGAATGAGCACGTTCGCCTTGGTGCTCATCATAAAATAGATCTAAAGCTGAACGAGTTCTTCACCCTCGGTAAGCAGGAATGGGATTCGATCTCAGTCGAGAGGATCCTAGATGCTTGTGATCCAGACAGCACTGCAGAACTGGCAGCTGTTACAATGCAAGATGGACTAGCTTATGTGTGTTTGATCACACCTTCGATGACCTTGACCAAGCAGAAGGTTGAAATCAACATTCCGAGGAAGACACCTGGAATGACATCTGCAAAAGAAAAGGCAATTTTGAAATTCCATGAGCAGGTAAGATATTGAATTACTCAGTTTGTCTAAACTAGAGATGAAATTGGTTACTCATAAAAGTGCCATGCCGTACTTTAAGTTGAGGGTTATTTTGTATTTTCCTTTTGAATCTTCATATTTTCACTCCAGTTTTCTTTTCCTCGACGTTTTTGATTTGAATCTTTTGAAATCAGTTGAAATTTCCTCGATCTAATTATGGTTTTCTGCGACCCAGGATCTTTCAACGAAATGCTATCAAATATAGTTTCTGCCTTCCAGGTACTGCAGGCCATGTTGACCCATCTCAATTTCTCTGTGCTGAAGTGTGTAATAATAGCCAGTCCAGGATTCGTCAAAGACGACTTCATGAAATACGTCAATGCACAGATCCAAGCGGACAAAGTGCCCCTAAACGAGCACAAGAGTAAGTTTGTGTTGGTCCATTCTGACTCGGGCTACAAACACTCGTTGAACGAACTACTGACCGATGAGTCACTCGTGAACAAACTAAGCGACGTCAAGGTCAGTGTACAGTTTTTTTTACTACTAATGTAGAAAAAAATAGCGCAATCGTTACAAACGTTATTATGCTAGTTTACGAATTATAGAACTTAGAAGATAAGATTAATCTAATTTGATGAAAATACTTTGGTTCTAAGATGAATCTAATTTTGGTGAAAATATTTTGGTTCGGATCAAACTCGAATGATGCTGCTTGATCTTGAGTTCGAACTAACTTTTCAGGCTCTCAAAGAGGTGCGTGCTTTGGATAGCTTCAAGAAACTGATGTTTAATAGTCCAGACAGAGCTATCTACGGCCCCAAGGCAGTCATGAAGGCGAGTGAGGCACAAGCCATAGAAGAACTGCTCATTACGGACACTCTTTTCAGAAGTAGGAACTTCGTGGTGAGGAAGCAGTTCGTGCAGTTGGTCGAAGATGTCAGGGACTGCGGAGGTTAGAGGAATTTCTATTTTAACCACCCATTCCAAGTTATTTTTGAGGAAAAAAATTGCGAAAAAATCATTCATGTTCAAGCTATTTGGCGCTGAGCTCAAAAAGGACATCAAGTCAAACCTTCATGGCTGATTTGAAATTGTTTATTTGAAATAGTATGACTGAATAGCGATCAGTTTGAAAAATAGTTTATAGCTTGTTTTTTTTTAGGCGAAGTACGCATTCTATCCAGTCTTCACGAGTCAGGACAGTATCTGGACAGACTGACTGGCATAGCAGCCCTGCTGCGGTTCCCGATGCCAGAACTAGACATGATGTGTGAGTCGGAGGACGAAGAGGACGACAACGACGGAGCAGGTGGAGGTGCGAACGGGGATGTATCAGATGACGATATGGAGAATAATGGTATCGAAGCTAACCCGAACCACTGAAAAATCAACTGATAAACTCAAGCATTAGATAAATTTAATGACGCATTTTAAGCTCCTGTTCTGACTGACCTGCAATTCGGAATCGATCGCAGTTAAGTTTGAAGTGTTAAACAGCTGAGTCATATGATTTAAATCTGCATAAAAAGCAACTAGACGTAGAAGAGCAGGTTACCAGCAATACCAGTAATTATGAGAATTTGTATTTATTAGTAAAATTCAAAAGATTAGGAGCTTAGACCAAGTTGAATAATAATTAACGACCAAGTTGAATAATAATTAACATTCAACTGATTGTAAAGTTATACTAGATTATTTCAACTGCCTAGTCATGTAGCAACACGTGCTGTAAAACATACTAGTAGTTAGCTGTAACGTATTTATGTTTAGGCAATATAGTTTTGACTTTAAGCTTTTTTCGAAAAGCGTTGATAAAAACAGGGAGGCAAAGTGAATTATGAAAAGTTACTTGCTGATAGTTCGGGCCAGAGTTAGGAATGTTTTAAAACATCTTTTAAAACAAGGCAAAAAAAACACGTTTTAAAACAGAAATTAAAAAACTGTTTTTTTATTTTAAAACGTTTATCGCTAAAAACTAGACTTATATGGGAGTCGAACGCTGCGATAGGGGTATGAGCCGCCTTACCTTATTAACTCGGCTCGATCTCTACAATGCTGCACCGGATCTTCTTAGAAAAAGGAAGAGATAATTATCTGACTCCCGTTTTTCTTGCCGAATATCTATTAGATCATCGGTATGAGGGCAGAAAGTTAGAACTGAACAAACTGCAAAAAGAAAACAATAAAACATGTTTTTTATATAAATTAAACGCTATTTAATTCATTTTTTCAATAAAAAACGTTTTTTCCCAACCCTGGTTGGGGCTGACCAAATGAATTCAAAAAACACTAGATTTTTTTTTAAAGTAGCCAATCTTTTCCAAAAAGATTCCCTTGGTATAATTTTACGAGATCCATTTTTGGCCTGCAAACCACAAAAATTTTCTAAACCCGTCTTTGGCGCCGATATAACTAAATTTGAGGGAGGTGCGCGCTCCGAAAAAGGCAATTTTTTATTGAAATAATTTTTAAAAGTGCTCAAAATGGCGTTTCTAGCCTGTTTGTTTCCAAATTTGACAAAGTATGGTCCTCAAAGTTTTTTCGGAGAGCTCGGAAAAACAAATAAGTCGAAATTTTTCCTTTTTTTTGAAAATAAAACGTCCTTCACTAGTTGGAAACCGTATGCTGTTTCGATTTTTTAGTTGAGCCGGCAGCAAAGGCTGAAAAGATTTTTTTGCTAATTTGTGATACCATTGAGCGCAATTTTACGCCAAACTAAGAAAGCGTGATGTGTTACAGGTTCACGTATTGAGTTGAATGGGTGCAAGTATGAACGTGGTTCGGTCCGATGAAAAAGCCTGTATACGAGAGCGTCGTTTCTTCTGCGTGGTGTGATTATACAACTATACAAATCCGTAGAAATTTAGTGAATTAGGCATAAAACACTGCAATTGATTTCAAAAAAGAAAATAAACGAAAAAAAAAATTAAAGTTTTTCCTAGTTTTTGTATCAAAATTTGTATCAAAATTTTCATGGCCAAAAAAGCGCATAATGAAGCTTCTTAAACTGGTTTTTAAAAAAAGTAAAATCAGGTTTTTATAAGCCTAAATGACCAATATTTATATATAACGTACCTTACTCGATCGCTTTACTCGCTTGAAATTGGGCAAAAACTCAAAAGCCTCAAACCGTTTTTTCTCAACACTGGAAAAAAAACTGTGGTAAATTTTTCAAGTCGTTCGAATTACAACTGAAAGAGCGTTTATATGGTAAATCCCTCAACCCAGTCCCCTCATTACTTGTGGCACCTGATTTTGCGTGGAAAAACAAAAAGAAGGAAAAAAAAACTAAAACATCCGACTACAAACAACTTCCTCCTCATTTTCATCAAAGGTCGGAACAATATAATTTTTTTAGCTGGCAAGCAAACCTAACAACTGATTGAGATTTCGGGTTAGGACTTACCACCTTGATAGCGTACTTGTCTTTTCAATCGGTAATATAATTGCTAAAATGATTTTTGAAAGCTAAAAAAAAATTTTTCGCTTCATTAGGTTCGAAAAGTTTCAGCTGGTAATCATTGCGCTTAGCATTGCTACTGAAATCGGGTACTAAATTTATCTGGAAACAACATTGCTAACAAAATGGCGGAATTGAAGAAACTGCCTTTTTACTGCGTTTAACTTGTCAAGGCTCCAAAGTTGGTACATCTATGTTTTTGATGTGTACGGCAATTACCCTGCGAATTATTTTTTTGACAAAAATTTTTGGTTTATTTTAAGTTGATTGACTGTTGGTCTTAAAAATGAAGAAATAAACAAGAAACAAAATCGAAATAATCTTAAACATTTTCAACAATTTTTCCATAATCTTTTACACTTGCAATCAACTTAGTGTATTATTACGAACCTTCTTTTTCTAACCTAAATTGAAATTAAAAGTGTTCACTTATAAGGATATTTCCCTGAAGCAATGAAAATTGCATAGCATCTGTTCTCTGCTTTATTTGTGGCTAGTGTTTGATGCCTTTTAAGCGTCCGTGGTTGACCATATTAAGCGCCCGCGTTTGTTAGTGTGTGAGACGCCTAATCTCTGGTTTGCAGGTTTGAAATTCAGACGTGGTCAATTTTTGACTTAATTGAGGGTTATTTCTAATTTTTCTTCTTTTTGGCGTGTGCTCACTATGTTTTTTTTCGCCTCTGTAGCGAATTCGTTTCACCGAAAAAATGTCAGTCAAAATTTCAAAATTTTTCTTGGACGAGCGACTGCTTCATACAGTTTTGATGTTTTGATGCAGCTGATTGAGTTTTTTGGTTTCATTGGTTCCACTGCTATCTGGACAATTCTGTTAAAAATCACAAAATACTTTTGAATGGTAGACAGCGGCGCAATAATTTTGAAGTCGTATCAAATCAATCAATGAAAACATCAATTACAAAACACTGTTTTGACAAACCAACTTAGAATTTATCTGCTCCTTTTTTCCTAAAAAACAGTAAGCTACTCAAGTTATATTTTAGATACCTTGAAACCGAAAATGACAATGATTGTAAAAAAATTTTGTTTCTTTTTCAGATCCCGTTAATTACACACCTTCAAAGCATAGTGTAATAATGCGGAAAAAAAACATTCTGACCTTAGTCAGAAGTAAACATGCTCATTTGATGGCACTTTTAGTATATTTCAATTTATCATTTTTCAGCTTATTTAAACATAGACAATTTAATTGCAAATGTTGCTGCTTCATTTTTGGCTCGTGTTTGATCCTATTTGAAATAAACTTGTGGCAAGAAAAAAATGGGTTTTGTTGTTTTTAGTTTTTTTGCGACGCTATGTGCCTGGATATTTCGCTGGTCTCTTTTTATTTTACCTTACGTTCTACGGTCTTCAAAAGTTTCAGTAGGGAATTTTTGGCCTATTTGTTTTTTTTGAATTTTTTAGTTTTTTCTCAAATAGTTCATGCACAAATCTGAGATGAACGTTTCAATCAAAAAAACGAATTATGGGGATCTCCCTTTCTGAAGCGTCTATTACCTAAATTGAGTAGCAAAAAGTTATCGCCTTAAACTAGCCCATTTTTTGAAAACTTTAGTTAAGGTTAAAAACTTTTCGAATTTTCTGAGAAATCAGCAAAATCAAAAATTAAGGCTTCAACCGAAAAAAAATAAATCAATCACGCAAGTTTTTTCTGCGCAAGAGGCTACGCCCTGCGCTTTGAAACAAAAATGGCCTCAGAAAAAGCTCAATTTTTTTGAAAGGTTGACTGTTTTTTGGAAAGTTCTTAGTGCTTAGCTTTTCCTGCGTAATCTGTTTCATTCTTGTTTTTTTTTTGTGAAAAGCTGATATGGACTTCGGAAAAACTTTTTTTTAGAAACTCCTACAGTATTCTCGAAAAGTGCTACCTAAAATCTGGTATTGAGGGTTCAATCTAAAAAATCAGGGTGCGGAAAGCAGAAGCTATTCCAACGTTTTAGTAAAGAAGAGTTCATGGATTTAGGAAAAGTCAACTTTTTAAAATTTGTAATTAATTTTGAAATCTTAATCACTTTTTTCGAAAACTACCCAGCTAAAACTGAAATAACTACTTACGCTTTTGTGTATCAGTACAATATATGATTTTAAAATTCAGAACAGGTAGACCCGGGCAATAGCTGGGCCACTAAATTACTTCCAAGGGACCGTGGCGCAATGCGAGGACGTGAGACTCCTCTTCAAAAAGTCGGATTTTCAAATCCGAAACATTAAAATAGTTTTAATTTTTTGGTAAAAATTTTGCTGCATATCGTTTGTAGCGATTTGATAGAAATTGCAGCTGCTTTGTTGGTGGCTAGGGTTATTAAAATTACAAGCAGTCCTGGAGCAGATGCAAGAGCTTGATACTCCAAATCTCAACAATTTTGTTTCAATGTGTCTGTTTAATATTTTCCTAATTTCACTTTGTTTTGCCTGCTTAGAGCTCTGTCTTGCATTTTCCTTGCTTCTGTGTTTGTGAAGGGGAGGTTTGCCTCTGTGTTATTATTACTCTGTTTGTTTTTGGGCTCAATATTTTTTCTAACAATTTTTTTTTACAGCTTTCGTTTCAACTTTTTCATGAACTAATTCTCAGATTATAAGTTTTTTGGGAAAATGTAACTTTTAATTTAGAAATCAAATTTTTTGAGTGGGTTTTCCGAAATTATTTTTGCTTTCCTATTTCTTTGACTCCTGTAAGATGAAATTGGTGAAGTTTTCCTAGTTTTGTCTGACTTGAATAAAAAATCTGGAAACAGCTGATATTGGTTTTTTCCCTCTTTCTGTGAGAAATACAATTGGTTTCCTCGCTGGTCTTCTGAGCAATTGCTAACTCCATCACGTTCAGTGCGTCCGTCGGTTGGAATCAGAGTGAGCTTGTTAATTGAAAACTTCAAAATTTTGTCGACCTTTTTTTTGGTTCGACCAAATTAATTTTTCGATTTTTTTCAAAGCTTTAAAAAGACCCTGTTTTGGTCTAATTTTCTACGCCGCCGGCAAAATTTTGAAAAAAGAGGCCAAAAAAGCGTTTTTAGGCAGTTTTTAAAAAAATTTGACAAAAAAAACCGCGTTTTTTCGGCACGCGCTCCTACCTCAAAATTTTTATATTGGTGCCCAAGGCGTCTTTAGAAAAATTTTAGGTTTCGTCATCAAAAATTGGTATCTCAAAATAGTACAAAGCGGGCCCCTGCTTTAAAGTGCAATAATTTAATGGGAAGAAAATTTTCTTGTCTTGTCTGTGCTTGAGGAACTTGAACATTACGAGTTCAAAAATAATTCATAGCTCAAGATTTTATTGCGAAAAATTTTTTAGGTTCAACAAGCGTCAATCTGCATTTGTTAATGAACATCTTTCAAGCCAAATCGAGACAGTTGTTTTTTGATGGATCTAGTTTTATTCGATTTTATTACACATGCGGCCTGCTCAATTTGGGTTATATGGTTATGTTGAATCTGGAACCAGATATAAACTATTTTTATTATTGATTATAAATTGGATATTTTATCTCTGTAAAATATTTAATATTAACCAATCATAATCCATCTAACTAACAACCCACTTATTTGTAAGTGCTGAAATTACTTGTAATTTCAGCACCAGAGAGATTTGAATTTAACTTAGAAATTAGTTACCTCTCCAAGAAAACTTTAGCAATCGCAATAAGCCAGTATACTCTAGATCTATTGAGCCTAGCAGAGACTAGTTAAACACCCTGAGACTAGTAGATATAAGAGTAAGATTAGGATCGATATTAGACTAAGAAGTTGCACGAATCTATCTGGCCGAAAATAAGATAGCGTGACGAGCAGACGGTGTACTCTATCCGAAATTACTCTATGAGATAAACCTTAAATATAACTCAAATCGCTTTATTGATATTCAGACTAAATTTACCTCTAGGTGAATGGATGATAAACAAATGCAAAGGTTTTTAGAATTTATGCTTTTTAGCTTGTTCGAGAAATCTAAAGATAAATTAGTTCAGTTTTTGTAAATTAAAAAAAGCGATCGGAACATTCTGTGCCACTTGCACAGCAACTGGGTTAACTGTTCTGATTGTCGGAGAATTGTCTTAGAATAATCTACCATCGACCAGATACGTTGTACATGATACTGAAGTAGAGGAGATTCCATAAAAGAAAGCTAGAGGGAAAGAGCCACTTGCAGATTTCGTCTGCATTTGCCGCACTCCAATAGTCAAAACGAGGAAGAGAGACTTCAGAGTTATTCAAAGAAGATCCGTTCGATCCGAATACTTTTGGTAAGTTGGACGCTTCTTGAGTGTTTGTGTTGTCAGTTGAAGGAGCAGCTCCGTTGGCCTGGACGCACATTGCGTACAACGCGTCAATAACGCTTCTAGAAAGAAAAAAACATAGGAAATAACTTCGAAATCTCAACTATCAGAAATGTACATTTTTTAATTTTTGAGTTTTTGCTATCATTCATTTTTAGTAAATGGTATGAAAAATGGAAACAATCTCAAAATTTGTCAACACGCAGTGTTTTTTACACCCAAAATCAGAAACTGACTAAACACATAGTACGAGATCGAGTCATATGTCATATTAAAGCACCTGTAGTCGTGATGATTCTTACTGAAGTAATAGAATTTGAGAGGATCGTCTGAATATTTAAAAGGATCGGTCGGTTTTGAGAGTACCAATCTAAAATCTGTTTAATTTGTCAGAAATATCATTTTGGCTTAAAACAAGACTGCTCGTATATCAGGGCAAAGCCAGGAATGTGCCGACTGTCCCTTAATCGGTATCGAAGGTAAAATATGTTAAAATATTTTTTCAAAATTGAACTCAGAGTGTCGATATCTTCAAGGCTATTCCGTACGGCTAAGGTTGTCAGAAAGACTACTTCAAAAATTTGAAAAACAATTGAACTAAGAAGTATTAGTTTTTGAGCTCTGTATTGGTATGTGAGCTCAGTATGACTAAAATTTAGTCTTTTTTCTTGGCAATTATCTGTGCTCAGAGTAATCCGTAGTACTTGTACTGCAACCAGTTTTCATTATTTTTTCAAATTTGGTTTGATGTTTTTGAGATTCCTTGTTGAAATGCAGAAGCTCTTCAGAATCATAATTTATTTGCTCGAATAGCGATTGTAGTATAGACAATTATTTTTTCAACTTAAGTAGCAACTGCCACTGTACAGTTACTGTTTTGATTTTTCAGTCACATTTTGTCAATTTCAGTGCAGCGTTTTTTGATAAAACAGAATGCCGCGTACAAATCATTAAGGAGAGCTCGGATTATCAAATTGGTCAACTTAACTGAAAAGTCGACAATTTTTTGTAGTAATCGTCCTAGCATCGGAAAATTTATAGATCCGCGCCAGCCAAATGTTATGATTCAGGGCTTTCGATGACGACCTAATTCACATTATAGAACAAAATGCAAGTCATAAAACAGATATTCTTACTGTTTTGTTTCGTTTTCCTTCTGGATATTGTCGGGCAGACTTTTGGGTACCGATTCTTTTTTTGGCTCCACCTTAGCTTTTCCACTGCTGCCTGGCAACATGAGTTCACGCGCCCGTTTCCATCTGGCTCTAGCCGGGGGTTGATACGAAACGATGGCGAATTCAACTAGTGTGAGAAAGACGTAGAAGAAGTTCACTATTAGATAGAGATCCCCCATTTTGACGTCAGCGACTCCTGGGAAGCTTAAATTTAAACAAAATCTGAAAAAGAGAACAACCAAGATGACGTACAACGAGCGTAATTTTTTTCTGACCACAGCAGGGTTGTGACGCTGCGTAAGTTAGCAATTTCAACGGATTTTATTTAGTAGTGAAGATTAACTTATTTAGTAGTGACGAATGGAAAAGCGTTCCTTTTTGCATTTTTCACGCGACCAAAAAATCTGAATATAACTGAACCAATTTCTCTACAAAATATACTGTTTCAGATAAAGACTGAGATTTTATTATGAAATCTGTAGATGCTTGTTACTCTTCTACATAATGCCTACCCATGCTCTTCTACGAGCGTCCAGTCGCTGTGCAAAAAGCACTGACTGTTTCGATCTGTTATCATTTCATCATCATGTTAAAAACGAAAAATCTGTAAAAAAAAACAACGATTATTTCGAAAACGTTTTGAAGTTTAGAAAAAATTGTTTCATGAAAGAAAAAAGTGACAGATAAGTCTCTAGATTATAGCTCTTTGAAACATTTTATCGGACCATTTATTTTATAGATGATAAGAAAAGCGTTCTTATGGAAATTAGAAATGACGTATGCCGGATTATTTTCATGCACTTCAGTCATGATTTGGGTTACAAATTCCAATGGTGAAGTGCATGAAAATAATCCGGCATTCTTCATTTCTAATTTCCATAATAACGCTTTTCCTATAATCTATAAGTTAAATATTTTAAAGAGCTATAATCTAGAGATGTATCTGTAACTTTTTTCTTTCATGAAACAATTTTTTCTAAACTTCAAAACGTTTTCTAAATAATTGTTGTTTTTTTACAGATTTTTCATTTTTTCTTAAAATGATAACAGATCGAAACAGCCAGTGCTATTTGCCAGGGGTGGATATAGAATTTTTCTCTGTTCGACTGAATTGATTTTTTTGTCTCTCTGAAAACCTTAAAAGGATAATTTTCACACACGTTTGTCTTTTTCTTCTTGGGGTTGTATACACAACTAGAGGTGATGATACTGCTCAACATCTCAAATGATCTCTCAAACTGGTTTCGAGTAAATTAGGGGTCAGTAACAAAACAACGTACGAAAACACTCATACACTTTTCCCATCGAAAGGAGTGTATTTGATCAAGTTAGATGTCATATTAAAACTCTTCAGTCATTATTTGGGTTACAAATTCAAAAGAGGAAGTGTTTTAATATAATATCTAACTTGATCAAATACAATCATTTCGATGGGAAAAGTGTATGAGTGTTTTCGTAGGTTGTATTGTTACTAACCCCTAAGTTACTCGAAACCAATTTGAGAGATCATCTGAGATGTTGAGCAGTATCATCACTTCCAGTTGTGTATACAACCCCAAGAAGAAAAAGACACACGGGTGTGAAAATTATCCTTTTAAGGTTTTCAGAGAGACAAAAAAAATCAATTCAGTCGAACTGAGAAGAATTCTATATCCACCCCCGTTCGATTCTCTGCTCACCTATTACCAGTTCCGTTGATGAGTGTGATCTGAGCCAGAATGCTGGTGATTGACAGTCCAGATCTCGCTGGCACTGCTTCCTTGTCGACCCAAAAGCCAACCCAGGACAGGATGACTAAAGCTATGCTCGGTAGAAACATGGTGACAGCGTAGATTGCCAGTTTGCGCGGAAAAGACATCTTCAAACAAAGTTGCTTCCAAGTCGTCCCTGAACGAAATTTAGAAAGATTCATTACGCTTGCGGTTAGCAAGCGTTATCGAATCAGAAGATAGTCTTTTTCGGTTTCACAACTTGTTTAACAAATTCACTTGAATCACTTGGTATCTTCACGCATAACTAATTACACTTGCGAGAGCAAGCGTCTTGTAATCGGGAACCAGACTTTTTCCGTTAACAATTTTTCTGACATATTTGTTATTGAAATTGACTATATTTTATTATCGAACTTTAGCAGCTTCCAGGCTTCATTGCAAGTGGCTAGAAGGTAATGCAAAAGCTAATGCAATCTATGGTCAGGGGTTCGATTCCCGGTCGGAGTTTTGTTTTTAGTGTCTGAATATGATTTTTTTTTCAGGGAAAAATTGCTTAGTCGGACTACAGTTTGTCGGTTCATGTTTTGTCGGCCTATATGCCGCATCAACATTTTTGCACTGTCACCAGTTTTCCTAGTAGCCTCATCTCTCAAGTTTCGTTGATGAACTCCTGTAGTTTTTTAAGTTATCATACCTGACTAGTATAATTTCCGTTTTTTGTTTGTTTTTTGTTTTTTTCCTTAAGAGATTTTATTCGGCCTAAATAATTTCGGCTCTCATTTTGTCGGTTTAGTCAACTTATTTTGCATCGGTATATAAACAAAAACTAATTATTCTTGTTTTTAATAAATCAGGCCAGCTGGTAGTATAAAATAAAAAGTTCAAGTTTTTTAATAGCTTAAAATGTTTTCCGTCAATAATTTCCTTTGGCCTGTTTTGTTTTCGATTTAATTGTCGTCTAACCACGTGTTGTTGGCTTACTGGACACTTGGACAATACTAAAAGATTGTTAAAGGCTTGTGGTTGTATTTCTCGTGAGTTTTTTTTCTGAGATTGAAGTTTTAGTAATTCCAGTGTGTATGAAAACTTTTCAAAACTTGAATGGGAAGAAGCCGATTCAATGCGCTTTTGAAACCCATAACAATTTGAAGTTCAAGAAGAAAACCTATCCCTTTGTGGTCGTGACGAGTAACGGACTTGGGGAGGAGGGGGGTCAACCCCCTGGCCACGCTCAAAAGATGACATGAAGTAACATGCAGAAGAGAGTCCTCAATTCTAGCTGTAAACTTTGCCAAAGCCTTTTTGGTACTATTTCACGACAGCCATTTCTGGCCGACCAAAAATGAATTTTTGTGGAAGCGTCTGGGCACATATTTTTTTATTTTGAAGGGAAATCTTGTTTAAAAATACGCTATGTCAAAACTTTCCAACAAGTGTCTAACAACTATTTGTGCCTGCTTTTTCAAAAATTTTGCCTACGGCACAGAAAATTTGATAAAAAGTTTGATCAAATCAATTTACTTTTTCTAAAATAAAAGTCCATGCTCTTAATAAATTACTAGATCCTCCACTGGTCGTGACGGTCAATAGTATTTGTATGGTTTTTTGTTCCAAACCCATGTAATTCTGGTAAATATTGTGAGCGCACCAACTGTTAGAGTATCAGCAGCAGTTTGGCAGCAATTTCGCATCAATATTAGTTACAAGATCTGAAAAAAATGTTATTTGTAGAGTATTAGTAGTCATTTCAAAGCAGCAATATTGGTAGCACTTTAAGAAAGAATTACTTCTTGAAGAGCGTACGCTACAATTTGTTTTCCGATGTTAATTTTCAAAATAAAAGTCAACAACGAAATTGATCTACCTAGATTGTAGGTGGTCTCCTTGGTGTAAGTAACAGGGGCACTCTCAATGTAGAAGTTGGCTATTTTTTGATTCGGAGTGAAAGAGATCTCCTTATTCACCCACGACATGTTCTGGTGCTCAGTGTGGTAGTAGTCTGAAGAAAAAGAACCTGCCCTGATTATCAAGCAGCAGCGAAAACAAATACTAGTTTTCTGGAAAAAAAATGAACTCATTGCAAAATTTAGAAAATTAAGATAGGGCGTGACAAGATTTTGGCAGCTTTCCTGCTCAAGCTATTAAGACTAACAACAAGTTTTTTTTATAGCAGAAGAACTCAATAAATGAGTAATGGTCGGGCTAAAGTACACAACATTTGATACCTTTATCGAAGAAATGCGTGCATTTAAAAGGTTGGTAGTTTTCTGAGTCGATAAATAATATGGCATCATCAAAGATCACAAAAACTCATGGAGGGGCATCCAAGGCTCACTCTCTCAATTAAAAAGCGGATGCTTTCGTAACCTGAAAGGAAGCCGTCTCATTTCCGTTTCTTTTCTTTGTTTCAATTTCTCCGCCCAATAAACCAAACTATTTTTTGTTTTTAATTCATGAAGTATATTACTTCATTAAAGTTTTTTTTTGGAATTGTTGTTAATTTGTATATAGTGAAGCAGGGGCGGATCTAGGTTTTTCTCGAGGGGAGTGGATTTTCAAAAAAATATTTTTTGGCTTTTTTAATGTCGACCAAATTGATTTTCAGAGCTCTGCCAAAGCATTAAAAAGCCCGTTTTTGGTCAAATTTTGAAAAAAAAAACAGACCAAAAAAGGCATTTTTAGGCGTTTTTTGGAAAATTTTGACCAAAAAATTGCGCTTTTTTGGCGCGCACTCCCATCCCCCCAAGACTAGTATATATTGGTGCCAAAGGCGCCTTTATAAAACTTTTAGGTTCCGTTATCAAATAAAGATATCTCAAGATAGTACAAAGGGTGGACCCAAATCTGCCCCAGGAGTGTAGTGTTGCATATACAACGTTAACTTAAGGTTTAATTTTCTCTTTAGAAACTTTTAAAATATCAGTCCTATCTGAATAATTCTTTCAAGAATGCACTTATTTTCCCCCTTGTTTTGGCTTGGATATTATAAAAAAGTATGTCGCAGTTAGGTGGACTGCGTATTTTGTTTTGCCTTGAAAAGCCGACAATAAAGCAATATGCATCCAGTCCTTTTAAAGCCCATCAAATACAGTGAATATTAAATCACCTGCAAATCAAAGACTCGATAAATGTTTGATTTTTTAAAATACAAATTAAAAAAAAACTACTGTAGAATGGGAAGATGAGTAAAAAGATGAATGTCCTATTGGATGAAGAAAACATTTGATAATTAGACCAGGAATTATATCTGAAGAATCTAAGAATTATAGTGCAAACGTAAGTTTTCAAGAAAAACAAGACAGCGTTTATCATGGGGCCCTTGTTTTTCATTTAAGCTTTCCTTTTCGAAAATAGAAATGATCTTTTTGTATTTTTGAGCGTTTGAAGAAACGCTATTCAATAAACGCCTAAGATGGAAGTTCGTTTTCAATTGATAAATTCATTTTCAGTTCCAAAATCACAAAAACAGATGCGATGTAACTGTTGCGTGCAATAAAAGCACTTTTTGTTAAAAATTGGAAGAACTTACAGCTTTCGAAGCACAAGTGACATTCTTGGACATCAAATGGGAAGTACTTGAGGTCCATCTCACATCTGAAGGTCAATAACAGTCTGGAAGAGAAGAAGATACTACCATCACTTTGCAACTCCAGTAATTGACTACGGGCCAGCACACCTGGCTTCCACACCTGTGATACAAAAAAATGAGAGCATCGATCTTCTGAAGAGATATTTTAAAAGCAAACTAAAATACATCGGAGGATTTCAGTAAACTGAGTCATCAAACGGTGAATAGCGCAATCAAAACCAGTTTTTAAAGATTCAGTTAAAAAGGGTAAAATCACGAAAAATCTGTTATTCAAACCATAGCCAACAGATAGATGCAAACGTGTCATAATCTCGAGAAAACCAAAACAGCCTGATTTTTCTAAAGCGTTTTGAAAGTTTTTTTGATTATATTCGAACTGTTTTCTTAATTTTATCAAACACAATAGCATCTTAGTGCATGTTAATTAACTAGTTAGGCTTTGCAATTAAAAAAAAATTATAAGAATTTCATTCTCTGCTAAATTCGAAACAGCAAAGAACCCGGATCAGTTTTTCGACACTGAGACGATTTTTAAAACTTTTTTGGGAATCCGGACTTCTTCCAATAAGACTTGGTGTGAAATTTAATTGAGGTACCAAAAATTGACTGTAACAACACTACAGTGCCATAGTTCTTTCTTTTGTCGTGAAGTGGTCGAAACAACTCATTCGAGTAAATATTTTTCTAAAGATATTCTTAGTACTAAAAATTGGTAGTTCGAAAGTTGTTTTTACCATTTTCACAAACCTGCTTCACAGCTCGACGAAACCCGATATCTCTAAAACTCTAAAAGCCTAACGTTTTCGAATCGCGGCCATACCAACTTTTACTATCAATGTTCATCTTGATTTTTTTTCTACTTGAGCCATTGATATCTCTCTCTCTCTCTAAATCAGCGTTTCAAAATAGTATAAGAAACGTAATCTTAATTAAAAATTTCGCCAATTTTAGTTTAAGCCAACTAAAAATAAAAAGTCTCAGAACAACTGCAAAAAATTTTCAATGGAGATTGAAATCAAAATAGCTTTGAAGTTTCCAAGTTTTGAGAATAGAAAATTAAAAAGATGGTCCATGAAAAGTCCTAAGCAGCAACGACAATTCAAGAGAGATTTATAATTGAAGTTTTTACCAAAACTATTCAATCAACATAATTTTGCAAAAAAATTTTTGTTTTAAAACACGCAAAAAAATTTATTCTTAAAATGACGAACAAACTCAATTTTTTCATAAAAATTATTTAAACCTTCAAAAATTATATCAATCATTCAATTCCAATTAGTTGCCCCAATTTTTTAATCAACTATCAGCGATTTACAATATATTTATTACGAGTCGATTTATTCATCCTATTCACCGTTTTTCGAAGTTAGTTCAGTTGGTTGCCTCACTCCACCTGATTTCGTCGCAAAAAAGTGTGTTGCCGATTCTGTGATACCGTAGGTTTGACACCGCGTGTTGTCATTGAAGACATTTAGTAAGATATTCCGCAACATGATTTCAAGAAAAAATGTTAAAAATCATGTGCAAGAATCTGTCTACTTATAAGCACAAAACTGTGCTATGCAAAAACAACATACATAGGCCTTGTGATGTCTTTCTTGGGATACTATTTATAACAAGCGTTAGATCGCAACAAGGAATTGGCATAAACTATACTGTGCTTACACACGAGTAGTACTGTGCGCGCGGATCAGTGTTTGCCCATTAATATACTGTTACCAATTGTCGCCTGTAACAAATTATCGTCTTTTACGAGTTATTGCCTCGCTCCGATATGGCATTAAATCAAACCAAACCTATGAAGCATCAAATTAAAGCAGTATTAAAAACAAACAAGACTATTCGTAAATCAGAGGTTTTTTCTTTTTTATCAACCCACACGCTAATGTAAACTACTAAAAGTTATATTTAGCGTCTTGTTTTCTGATAATTACGACCAAATGACTTGGCTCATCTCCATCCGGAACGCATTAAACTGCCGCTTACGCGTTATATCGTGCATTAAATATCTCAAATTGGCCAATTTAGCAGTTTTCAAACCCGCTTAACTTTACAGAAAATGATAATATGTGAACTATATATTTAAGTTTGAGCTCAAAAAAGCTTTATCTTTTAGATGCTATAAAAAATTTGTCGAAAATCTTTAGTTAAAAATTCGAAAATTGACTGAATAAAAAGTCTTTCGCATGCATAAATATTCTGCACTTTCTTCGAAAGTCGAAACAACAAGTTTGCCCCAGAAAAATATTTCAATAGTTTTTGAGCAGACAAGAACACTTTGCCGGATGTCTAGGTTCCCTTCAATTCCGGTGCCTGGTGAAAATCACTCTCTCTGCTCGAAATAACTGACTATAACCAATTCGAAATCGGATCGAAACATGAATCAAATGGAGCTAGTTTTCTGTAACAAAACAACTAACTGACATTTAGACGCTATCAGTTTTTCCACGAAACATGTGGGAGACCTTGTCGCGATTTATTTTAGCCTCTCGCCAAAACTTATTTGTTGTCCCGCCATTTGGATTGCTCCAATTATCGAGCTGTGCTTGCCTGGCATTTTTTCGGAAAAATTTTATACGAGAGAAACAATTCTTAAGGAGAATTCACCCTTCAAATTTACTTTTTGTTTACCCTTAAAAACTAATGACCTAAATAGGATATAAATAATATCTGAGGGTAATCCATTCTACATCCTCTGGAAATCTGATTCTGCAAAGTATTTCAAAGTTATTATCACATAATTTCTGTTAGCAAAACAATTAACCGTGTGAACAAAGAGTTTCAATCAATGAAAAATAAAACGTAAAAGGTTTTTTTTTGCATGATTTTTGAATGCTTGAGGAAATTATAGGAGAGCAATACAGCAGTATTGTCTGAGCCAGGCTCATCAAATTAGGTGGTTCCAAGCAAGTGAGATCAAGTTTCAATTGCCACGATTTTTGTTCTGGCCACTCTGAAAAAGTGGGAAAAAACAATGGGCTTAAGGCGAATTAGTATTTTTTCACGCAATTTCAGGTACCTCAAAGCAAGCTTGTAGGTGTGATTTAAGAAGCTTATACTGAAATCTTTTTAAATTTGGAAATCCTTTCATCCTGGCTGTAAAAATTGTCGGAAATATTTTTGTAATCGGAGCTTACTAATTGCACAGTGCTCGGGCTACTCTCAATTGGTTTCTAACAAATGAAGAATTTTATTAATAAACAGTCTCATTCGGATATTCGGAATTAAAAGCTACTATTATGAAATCTTTTTTCATGAAAAAAAAACTTTATTTGGAGTTCAATCAATCTTTTTTCCATTTTTATATTTTAACAGGATTAAAATAAAATCAACAGAATGATTATTACTTTCAGTTGGAAGAAAGAATACTGCAGACAAGGCAAAAAGCTAACGTAAAGGCTGAAAAAAGTCGGAGGCAAAAACTAAAGCATCGAGCTTATATGGTAAGAAGTGATGTCAAAGTAAGCTGGGTAGTCAAATATCTCGATTCTTTTACGCATGGATTTAAAGGCTATTTGGAATTGCAACAAGACTGCTCGTATCAGGGCGAAGCCCTGATTGTTCCGACTGCCTTTTAAGGTTTATGGAGCAGCAGTAATAACATTAAAAAAAATTAAATGAAATAAAATAAAAAGAAAGTTTTTTTAAATTTGAAAATTTTTATGAAAATCATCCCCCCACACGCCATATAAAGTACAAAAAAATAGAATTCGTTCCTTGTAACAAATCAATTATGGCAAATAAGCTTCGTTCAACCAATTTGGAACGATTTATAAGACGGATTAAATCACGCTTACGCGTTAATAGCGCGAATTATATCGCGCGTTAATTGTCCCAAATTGGTCAAAATGGCCAAAATAGCAAACTTTAAACCCTCATAACTTTATGAAAAAGGATCACAGGTGAAATATCTTTTCAAATTTAAGCTCAGGACAACAATACCTTTTGAATGATATAAAAAAATTCCGTCAAAAATGGCTAGTTAAAAAGTCGAAATTTGTCTGAAGAAAAAAAAAACCCACCCCGAGCACAAATATTCCGTTACTTTCGTACCGAAAGTCGGAAAAATAAAACTATCGATGAATTGAAGCCACCAGCCTAATTTAAAGTAAAAGTTTACAACGGCGCAGCTCTGAGTGTTTCAATAATGTATTGCACGTTATCTATCCCGAATTAGCCAATCTTTGTTCCGAGTACTTTCGAAGCAAATGACGGAATGTTTGCACCCGGGGTCGATTTTCCTACAAACTTTTTAATTAGCCATTTTTGGCAAAACCTGTGTTCATTTTTTGTGAAATTATGAGCGCATGAAAATTGCAACGAGTAAATGGAGATTTCCATCCGTCTTACAAATCGTTCCTAACTGAGTTTGTCCAAAAGGAGTAAAAAACATGAAATAATTTTTTTTTCGAAAAAATGGATGAATTATATTTTTTGGTGGCTGCAAAATTGAGAAGTTGAAATAAATTATTTTTGATGAATAAAATAAATAGAACTGAGAGCAACAATTTCTACCGAGCAATTTGAAGTGCGAGTTATGAGTTTCGAAAACAGACTACAAAATCGAGCAGCACGGTAGGGCGACAATTCGTAATAGGCGACAATTGGTAAAAAGCGACATTTCGCAACAAGAAGTTGATAAAAAGAGCATTCGCTCCGTCTTTGAGATAGACTTGGGGTGTTTAAAAATTTTAACGAAACATATTTGATATTTACTTCTGTGTCAGATTGAAGGTTTCTTGAACGCGTTTTCCTCAAGAACACCGCATTTCACACTACTTTTCATAGCGAATGACTCTAGCTGGCTTGAAAAGTTTAATCTGAATGGAGAACCCGCGAGCTTCAAATGTGAACAAGGATAGCCGGTTAATGTGCAAGAAGTACAGAATGTTCCGACCATGGTCTTTAGAAAACTACGGTTTAGAACGTTTTTTTTTTGCCAAATTAGTGTAGTTTTTTCTGCTTGGTGTGATAAAATGATCTGACGTAAAAATATAATTTGGCCATATTAGACAGTCATAGTAATGAAGACAAATTGAACAACATTTTTTTAAGAAAATAACTAGAAAAACTTTTTAAAAAAATAGAAAAAGAAAAATTTCAAAAATTTTTTGCAGAAAGTTTTAGAATTTTTTGATGTTGTTGGTTCCAAAAAAAGCTAAAAAAAACTCCAAAAACTAGTTTTATTTGCTTAAATTTAAATTTTAAGGTTTTATTCAGGCATAATTTAGCTGTTCAAAGCCTGCACGCTTGCTTTATTTGCTCGATTTAAGACGAAAAATCAAAATTTTCAAACCGGTTTTTCTCGACACTTTTAATCAAATCACGACACTTTGGTTCAAATCACGACTGAAAGGGCTTTAATTTTATATATCACTCAACCCAGTCCGATGATTGTCTGTGATACCTGATTTTGCGTGGAAAACAAAAATAAAAAACTAAAACACACCCAAATACAAAGTTCCTCCCCATTTGTAGAATGATCGGAGCAAAAAAGTGTTTGTAAGCTCGCGCGCTCTCCGTTCAGATATCTCAAAAACTGTTCGTCGCTCTATTAATTATTGATACCTCTAGAGCGTCCACCCAGTACATGTCGGGAAACCAGAGCTGTTCAATGTGGTCATATCCCAGCTGCACTTCCTGTCCTGGTATGGCGGAGGTGCTGTTGGCCACGTGCTCATACAGTCCAATCAGCCTCCCATCTGTCCAGTACTGCCTGAAGTAGATGTCCACAGACATTTGCTGAAACAAAGTTGTGAAATCAAACTAGCAGAAGTAAGGGTACCCTGAGGTTGTGCAAGCTGCACAAATTTTTTTAACCGCACTGATTGAGATAAATAAATTCAAAAATAACAAATGTTTTCTTCGAAAAATTGAAAACAAAATCTTAAAATTTTTTTTTTAAATTTGTTTAATTTTGTTTACTTTTTTCTGTTTTAGATTTATCACTCTTGAATTATTTTTAAAAAAACGCAAGAACTGGATGTACATATAAATGAGATAACAAAAGATTTATAACATTAGATTTTAATTTGGCGTCATCAAATTCAGTGTCATCAAAGAGTCGTGAAATTTTGCCTGACAATCTAAAAATGAGACCAAATTTCGTTGACACTGCGGCAATTTTTTGTAATTTTTGGAGTAAAAATCACGTCTGAAAGAGCTGTATTATGATTGCAACTTTGTAGTAGTCAAAATAGAAAAAAAAACAAGCTTATCCATAGTCTGTTCCGGTCGCTTCGTGACTTGGCCCGGGTTGACGTCCATAAAAGAAAAATGCTTGTCATACAATTTCATATATGGCGACTATGGAAAAAATGCTTGCCATACAATTTCATAGTATGGAAAAATGCCTATCATAATATTTCATAGTATGGAAAAAATGCTTATCATGCTATTTTCATAGTATTTTTTTGGTCTATGAAATAGTATGACATAGTATGATAAGCATTTTTTTCATAATATGAAATAGTATGATAAGCCTTTTTTGTCAACCCGGGAGTCTAATAAAAAATTAAAAAACAAAGAAAGTCAAATGAATCGAAATTCAGCTATGCTAGGTTTCATTTAACTTCAAGTTTTAATTGATAGATTGCACGTGTGAATTCGAAAAAAGGCTGAGTTTTTAAATTCTTGTTTTAGGTGGTATATTTTGCCAAAATATGTTTGTCGTTCTGCCTTCTTACCATATCGGCTTCTTCAATTGGTCCAATTTTGTGAATGAAGATGTCAAATCTGATGTCATCGGCAACACCTAGAGAAACATAATTATTACCTAACAGATACCAAGATCTGTCATCGTGAGATGAAAGTGATCAAAAAGCACAAGACACTATTGGCATTCTACAATCAATCTATGGTAGTTCTAGGAACTTACAACTTTGCATTTAAAATGGAACCTTATAATTTTGCCTGTTTTTTTTAATGGGCCGAATGAAATTTCAGAGCTCCCCTGAAAACACAAGCGGGTTTAGTGAGGAGAGGTGGACAATTTTATCTTCTCAGGGATTCAACCCCCTGTCGACTCAAAGGGTCCCCCTTGGTACTATTTTCAGACATTAATTTTTGGCTGACCCAAAATTTTTCTAAAAGCCCCTTGGGTGCCAATATTTACTAATTTTGAAGGTGGATGGCGCGCCGAAAAAAAAACGCAAACTTTTGGTCAAAATTTTTCAAAAAGTGCCTAAATACTCCTTTTTTTGATTTTTCAAAAATTTGCTTGCGGCAAAGAAAAAATGGTCAAAACGGGGTCGGTATAATGAACTGAGAGAGCTCAGAAAATCAATTTGGTCGACGTAAAAAAAGGAAAAACTCTTGCTAACAGGCAATTTTTGAATGGAAGAGTTCTTGACAAATCTCTACATTGATATTTTACCAATAAAAAAAATTAATGATTTCACTCAAATCAAAATGTCAAAACTGAATGCTGATTTAGTTTTGGAATGCATAGACAATATCTTTTTCGTCATCGTTTCTTTGAATTGTGTTAAAGGCCAGATTTCACAAGCAATGAAATTTCAATCACGAAAATTATTATTTTTCTTCATTCCTATATGCGAAAGCCGCAAATGCGTTCAAGCTAATTTTTTAGTTCGATTAGAGCTTGGTTGTCGCCTAGTTTGCTTGGTTCAGGTGCCATCTCATCAGACGTTTACCCTTCCCAATGACAAAAATATTGAAACTGCTTGTAACGAACTTTCCACTGTCTAAGCCACTTAAAACCCTTGACCAAAAATTAGCTTCCCGATCCCGTCCTTCCCTTATTTTGATAATTTTGTCGATTCGGGGAGCGGTGGTGAATTGGTTACGTCTCCGCCTCTCAATCGAAATGTCGGTTGTTCGAGTCCCACCATGAGCCGTGCTCGTTGCTTGCGGGTGAGGCAACATTACCCAGCCCAGAAAAAAATGCATGTAGTTCATAAGCAGGGACACAGCAGCGGTTTGCCGTGATGAGCTGTACAGTTCGTATATTGGTCCTTTCATTTGTGCAAAAATCGTCTTAATTTCATAATTAGTATTCTATAAAATTACAAAATAATAAGTTGTATTCCATTAAATTTCTTATAAGTATTATTTCAATATAAAGCATTATATTTGATTATAATCGATTCAAACGATTTTTTAAAGAAATTATCGATAAAAATTACAATTTTTTTCAAAGTTCTCTTTGGTGGAAATGCTACGTATTACGTTTTAAATTTCTACATTTTACTTAAATTTTTCTATATTTTTATTTTGTATTCTTTTCACTTCATGGCAGTTTAACACAATTTAATTGTTCTCACCACAACCGCCATTCGCCCACATTCGCACGTTCAAGAGGGGGGGGGGGGGGGGGAGGGGGTAAAGGTTGAACAGTTGGGCTCATTTTATGATTAAATGGGCGGCGGTAATGGTTGAATGGATTGGGTTCTCTCAACGTAAGCTCCACCTCTTTACCACCCCCTCTAGTTTATCCCCTGTCCCCTCGTTTACTGCTGAATGTTGGTGAGAGGAGGTGGGTTGAAAAATTTGGTTGAATAAGGGGGGTGGGGGGAGGGGTGAATTGGTGGAACGGCTGGGGGCACTCAATGTAAGCTCCACCTGTTTTACCACTCCCAGTTTACCCCCCTGGTTCACCCCTCCTCCCATGTTTAATGAACTTGGGAGTTGGGTGAGGTTGGGGTTAAAAAACATGGGTGGGGTAAACAAAAGTTGGAGGCCCCGTTCAATGGTGAAAAACTTCTCTGGGGTAAACTGTGAACTGGCGGGTGGGGTTGGTTAACTTCAATAACCATGGGGTTGTGATTGGTTATAACTGTAAAAAGCATGGCATGAAACTTCTTGCAAAATTAACAAAATTTCTGCAAAAATAATTGAATTAGTTTTCAAAAGAACATGGATTATAATCATTATAATGGAACATAATGGATTTTTGTTTCAGAAATAATTGATTAGATTGCATTATTTCGCCAAAAAAAATTGATTTCAGTGCCAAAAATAATGGATCAGAATCAATTAAATTAGATTTTTTATCTCGGAAATAGTCGAATATAATGACAATATAATCAATTTTGTGGTCCAAATTTTACATCTGTAATGCGGACTATAATTGATTTATTTTTGTTTCAATCTTTTTGTTATGAATGATGAGCAAAAACCTTCTCGGGACAGTTTCGATCCGCAGTGATCTGTCTAGCATGAGTTTGTTGTCCTTCTTTTTTATCTACAAGGTAGTAAGTGATTTTTTCCATCACAGTGTATAGGCTCAGAGCGAAGTCCCGATAAAATGCACTAAAATTATGTCTCGACTTCTCTTCGATCTTCTTTCGACAGATTTTGCCGCATTAATTTCTGTCGTATCTAGCTTACCTGTTTATGACATCAGACTGATACAGTCACTTTGCATTCATTGCTCCAGTTTTTGCACTATTAACGATGCTCTTTAATTACCGAGGCTTTCTAATCATAAAAATAATCTTTTTTCAGGCTAGTATACAAGAAATGATTGTTTTACAACCGCATTTATAACCATTAGGCATTAGCCTAAGAGATCGTCATGAGACCTTCTGGTCCATTTTCAGCCTTTTTGAAAAAAAAAAGAGGAAATAGAAAAAACTAACCCGTTCCAGCCTTAAATTGAATTCCCTAGCTGTATATTGTGTTCAATAGACCTTCATTGTAAAAAAATGATGTTATTTAAAAGGAGGTGTTTCTTTCTTTTTGGGCTGTTTTGGACATTTTCTGGGTAAACTCGTCCCAATATATTTCATAGTTAAAGACGGAACTGAGAAATTTTCTTAATCTTACATGCAGTGAGTTTTTAGTTGTGTTGTTTGCACCATTCGGTAAATGTTTCGATTTTCTTCTTTGTTGTGATGATTACTAAAGTCTCCTCCTGTTATTAGCTTGCGTAAAACGTCTACTAAATAAATTTTTTGAATTTTAATTTATTTTTCGAAAGTTTTATAAGTATGAAGTTCAGTAGATGTATACATTGTGTGATTCTCGAGCTAATATTAATGAGCTTACGCTTGGAGAAAAAACTTTTTTCAGTCTCTGTAGATCATTATCCAGTTGTCTCAAAACATTTTAGTTTGAGGTACGAAATTTGAAACTCATATTTATCAACTGTTTCTTGTTTAATTTTTTTTTATTTTCAAAATAAATCACAATAAATATTTTTGTTTCCTGAGATTAGAAACGTGATAAACAAAACTCAAACAGTTACCTTCTGTTTTTACTATATATCTAATTGATTTCTCGGTTTCATTATCAAAATGATTTTTTCGCGTTTCAATTACATATCTCTGCTTTGATTTTTTGAAATTCATTTTTTTTGTTTCGAGGAGATTTTTTGAACTCCACTTTTTGAACTCCACTTTCTGCAGAGTAATCAGCTTAACAAAAGGTGCGAGTTTTTTTGTTGATTTTAGGAAAAATCATTGATGAAGATGATGAGAAGAAGTGGACCTAAAGTCAAGAAAAGCAAATTGCGTTGATTTTTTTTGAATTTTTCAAATCATATTGATTTGTTTCGAAAGTGACACTACGGCATCAATTGAACTTCAATCTTGTATAAAGGTTTATTGTGTAATCTGAAGGATGCTTTGATCCTTAAAAAATGTCCTTAATTTTTTTAAAATACTTTTTCAAATATTTCACCAAAATTATTTTTACTGGTTACCTAATTAACAAGTTTGAAAGCTATCAAGCTATCAAGATTAAGATCAGTTATCCAAGCAATAAAACACATACGAGCTGTTCAGTCTGTGTTTCTTGATTTAGAATTACGTGTTTTTTTCCTGATTTTTTGGACCTCGAAAAATTTCACCTCATCCGTCGCCAATGAGCTTAGATCATGCTGAGCTTCAATCCACCGGATTTTTGACTACGAAGTGGAGATTTTAGTTAATTAATCATTGCGCCTCTTTTTGAAACGAATGGCTATGTGGGCTTAAAACAATAAGCAAATAAATAATACAAATAAAATCTTATGTTATTGTTTTAAAATAATTGCATCAAAAAAGCCTTCAGCTCTGTGTTTTAAGTAGTCGCTTAAAACATTACAAACTCTGTCCCGTGACTGCAGTTCTAAGCTTTTTTCTTGATATTTTAAATCAAAATTGTTTCTCAAAAACCTGTCAAGTGCTGATTGGTTGGAAGCAAATTAACATTTTTAATAATTCAAATAGCATTGAACGAAGTCAGTTTACTCTTAAATTAAAATAATCTAACCTTTTTGGGCTTTTGGTCTGATGTTTCGATTGTAATCCTCCACGAAAAAGACTTCACTGCGGGTAATCACAATGAATGTCAATGAAAAGAATAAGAAGCAAGACATGATTAAAAATAGTCAAGTAGTTTAGTAGATGGGCTTTGATAAAATTACTTTAATGATGATGCAACTCCAATAGCTTTGGGACAATTAAACCATTGACTTTATTAAACCATAAAGTCACTTTGCAGAGTAAGCAGTTGAAGTAATGATAAAAGGTAGTTCAAATTTCTTCGGAATTTTGGAGAAAAAAAATCATAGAGTCCGAGTCATAATCCCGATTTCTCACAACTAAAACAAAATGTGGAAAAAAATAATGGAATTGAATTCAAATTTTGCTTTATTAAAAGTCCTAGTGTTGTTCAGAATCGGTAGCAATTTTACTCACATAAAAGATATTTATTTGAAATTAAATTAACTGGTCGGTTATTGTTCCAATCACAGTCATTTTACAGAAAAAAAACTAGTGAAAAATGCAATAAAAAACTCATTTTTATGAATACGATTTATTGCAAGTTTTGTGTGTATTTTTGGCAAGGATTTTGTAATTCATATTTCTGAGTTTAATAACTTCATGTTTTATGCTTAATTTGCTTTAATTAAATAGTAACTAGCAACGAGTGGGTCTCAATTTTATTCATTAAAATGCTAGTTTGCAGTCTAAAAGTAAAAAAAGGAAACCAATATTTTTCTCGATACTGGGGAAATTTTTTGACGTTTTTATGCAACTCTTAGCACAACTTTAATCTGAGATATCATAAGCCCGCATGCCTTTTTATGGTATCTCATTGCTTGGAAAATCACCCGAATACACAATTTATTCTCGGAAAGCGTGATTGGAACAAACCAAAATGAAAATTACCAAATGCTCATTCGCTTTTGAAAGCTTTTCAACAGATAACTATTTAGTTAAAGCTCAATTTAACAAATAGATAATTTCAGAGAAATAATTAGAATTTCATATAGTATTTATTTCCTTACTGAAGTTTCAATAACTTTTTTGTAGATAAATAATCGCCGCTCAACTTTGAAATGTTTACCAAAAATAGCACTAATTGCAAAAATTTGTAAAAGTATCCCTAATTATTAATGAGCAGTAAGGACCAAAATGAAGTAGGACCCTTTCCGCTGAGGAAACTAATTGGGTAGCAGGAAAAGTTACGCCCAGTCAGGATTTTATGCAAATTAAATCGCAGTTTTTACAAAAATGCAATTTCTCATTTGTAGAATTATTTAAGTGGATTGTATCTCGATGCACTGGAATTTTTTAAAACTTTCCTTTTAGACATGTCCTTTTGTTCTTCAAAGCAAAACTTAAAGATAAATGATTTCACTAAACACAATGTAAATCATCTATGAGTTCCATTATTCCAAACTCATTTGCAACAGATCAAAAAATTTTATGATTTCGAATTTGCTCTAAGCCTGCGTTCTGCTTGATTTTGATGTTTTTAATACCTTAATTTGTCATTCTTGGCTGTTTTGAAGCCACTTTACCGTGGTTTCTGCAAAGTGATGCGGTGTTTTTGAAGATAGTAGAAGATCAAAAAACCTATGCGATACCTTTTGGAAGCTTACAGACGGGCGAAGAAAAGACTAATACAAAAATAAATTCTAATTAAGCAGCTCTGCTTTAAAAGATGGCCACATTGAACCCAAAGCAAACAAGACTGCTCGTATCAGGGCGAAGCCCTGAAAGTTCCGACTACCTTTTAAGGTCTATGGAGCATTAATAAGATGAAAAATTTCAATGTAATAAAAAAAATTAAATTTTTTTTTGAAAAAATTTGAGATTTTATGTAAAAACATCCCCCCACACGTCATATTAAGTACAAAGTGATAGATTTTGCGCCTATTAACAAATCAATTATGGCATATAAGCTTCCTTGAACCAATTTGGAACGATTTCTAAGACGGATTAAATATCGCTCGCGCGTTAATAGCGCGAAATTTATCGCGCGTTAATTGTCCCAAATTGGCCAAAATGGCAATCATTAAGCCCCCATAACTGTACGAAAAATGATCACAGGTAAAATATCTTTTCAAATTCAAGCTCAGGAAAACAATAGCTTTCGAATGATATAAAAAAATTCTGTCAAAAACGGCTAGTTAAAAAGTCGAAATTTGTCTGAAGAAAAAAAAAACCCACCCCGAGCACAAATATTCCGTTACTTTCGTATCGAAAGTCGGAACAATTATGGATAAAAGTCTCCGGTTGACCAACACGTTTTATCATACATTTTTTAACTATGAAAAACTTCTTATCCTACAATTTCCTAGAAGTTGATAAGTACAGAAACTTGTTTAAAACCAATATGAAAAGCAATTTTTTAGATGAAAATTGTAGGATAAACAGTTTTTCATACACTCAATGTATAAAATTTTTGTTGGGAGTTCTGTTCTGACCGGGGTGGGGTATCTTTGAGGGCCAAAAATATTAATTAGTGTTAATGTTGAGAATTTAGTTTAATAGCAACAAAACCATTGGAAAAGTTTACAATCAACAAGTCATAGATCTCACTGAGACGTATCAAATAGGAATTAGCATTTTCGCAATATCTCGTTTTTGGCACATTTTTGCAACGATTTCCCGAAAAAATCCTTTTTTTAACGCGCGCTCTAGACTGAAATTTATTCTAAATATTGGCGGTTTTTTAGAAAAGTTGGTCGGCCCAAATGACGGTTCGCAAATGATTATTCGTAGCAAATGATTCTTTGTACACAATTAGTTGCGTCAAGAGTCTATGCTCAGCATAGGTAGTAAATATTTGATAAAATATAGCCTGAAACGCTTTGAATGTTCCATCAGCATGCCAGACAATGTTTGACTCCAAAAACTATAAGTTTTCGTTGGTTGCCAAAATCAGCCCTCGATCATTATCGCCGAGGCCGGAATCGAAAAGCAGAAATCTTTCTAAGGTTATGAGACAACTCGATCGGCACAGCAACTTTTTTAATCGAGTGGCTGCTACAAATAGTCATTTGGTACAACTTGACGCTTTTTATAATTGCTTCGAGTTGTCGCATGCGACAAATTGTCGACTCACCCTAATTGGATGACGTGCAACAGTACCAAAAGGGGGCCTTTTGAGAGGTGAGGCGGTCAAATCACTGAAGAAGACGACCTTTCTCCTTCCCTTAAAAGGCTACTGATACCGACTAAACCATTGAGGTGCAATGCCAACTAGACTCACATTAAAAATAAGTTTGAAGTTTTTTATAGGTCGATAATTATAAATAAAAGTAATTTGAACGTTTTGGGGTTTTGGGGGTTGAATAGATACTGGCGTAGATTTTTAACTACCTGGATCTAGGGCTCATTTTAAGTTTCATCGTTAAAAGCTGAGCATTTACTCGAGATTGGGGCTTAGTTGCTCATTAACTCGAAACATACGAGTTACATACATGCGACGAAGTTCTAGCACATTTTTCCTCTTTCTAGAGAAAATACGTATGCCCAACTTTGACCGACACCGTAAAACATACCTGAGATGGTAGCCCTGAGGCCGAGATGGTAGCAACATGCCACGGTCAAAACATACCCATAATTTTGCTTGACGTAGTAAAAAATGCCATATTTTTGTCGCAGCCATCGCAACATAAAGCGAGCAGCTCGACCCGGCAGACATTTAAAGGGTTTTTTTAATGTTGAAATGACATTGTACAACAAGTTTCCAGATAAAACGAACTTGAAAAAGGTTGAAAGTGATGGTGTGTTATGAAGAAACGGATGGTCGCTGAGTTAAATGCTTGCCGCAAGTACTTAGCCAAATGTCACTGACGTGATGTTTTTGAGAAAAAAATGAATTCGAAGAAAAAGGCAACTTGTAAAATGCTCGCGGAAGGGACAGGAGGTTAACAGCAGAGTATGATTACTGCGGAAAAAAACAGACATTTCGTATGGAAAGGTCGTACCAAAAAAGGAGGTCGTGGAAGACAAAGAACAATTGCTCGAGAGAGGTGTCAGTTAATAGCCACTACTATTCAACGAACTCTACGCAAGTTGTGAACCGGCGGACAGAAGAGTCAGTGAACATCCGGTAACAAGAATTGGAACCACAAAACTCGATAGAGAAACATATTGAAACCACAAAATTCGATAGAGAAAGTTGGTGAAACCCAACAGAAGAAAAACAAGCATCCGACAGAGACGAAAATAACACAGAGGATTTCCCATGTTGGTGTACTGATCCAGTGGCCATCAGTTTGACAATGATAACAGAGGCAGGTGCAACGGGTTCAATAATCTTAAAAGAATGTAAATTTCAAGGCAGAGTGCTGAGCATCGGAACTCCGAACGTTCTGTACGAGCATCAGATGGTTAGGTATGGGAGAATAGAACCACTTAGCGCGAGTTTGGTAATTTTACAAGCATGAAATAATTTTTCACCAATGATATCCGCATGAAGAAGGACACTTTGATCCAGTGGCCATCAGATTGACAATGATAACAGCTGCAGGTGCAACGAGTTCAATAATCTTGAAAGAATGTAACTTTCAAGGCAGAGGGCTGAGCGACGTTATGGGATGAGCAACGTTATGTACGAAAATCAGTTGGTTAGGTTTGGGAGAAGAGAACCATGTAGCGCAATTTTGGTAATTTTACAAGCATGAGATAGTTTTTTGATTATGAAAATTTAAGTGATTGAAAATAATGGGGAACCTTATCCAATCGGGATTCGGGCGTTGAAAAACCTAAATGAATTGGAATAGGGACATGTGATATCAGTGATTTGAAAATATATTGCGGGGAGAACTGGACATAGAATGATCAACGAGCAAATTGAGTATCTAAAACCGAGCGTGAACTCGTCAAAATTGATTATCATGAGTATCAAAAATATTTCGACAAGAAAACTAAAACCATTTGTTCTCTGAGATAGCGAGAATCACGCAATTGAAGACTCATATAAAAGATTGAGAAATTTCCGTGATAACTCTATGGCGAGCCTATTCTGTGTCGTAAAAGAGAATGATTAGAATGGATGCTCGAGAAAACAGTTATCTCATATTCGTCATGTGCGTCAACAGCAAAAAAATGGTATAAAAACTCCGCATGCTGGATTTTTAATCAATGTATTGAAATGGAAGTTTCAGATTAATTCCATTACTTCATATATGATTAAAATTATTGAGAAAAATGTTAGAAACTTTTACAAAGATATGGAAAACGCGAGAAACATTATACGGAACAAAAAAACGTGGTTTGCCCGGGTTGCCCCTCATACATAAACCGTGAGTTTCAACTAAAATTTGATGTTGCCAATGAAATTCTGTTTTGGGTATTCAAT